CATGCGTATTAGACTGAAATCTGAAAAATTTGCTAGACACTGTTGGGAAAGAGCTTTTTTCGCCGTGCCTTAATGAGGCACTACTAGGAGATATCTCTTTGCGAAATGCGGAAACAGTTTATGAAACACAAAATGCTCTGTGGACGATTAAGCGTGGACACTTTGTGAAATATCATATATTTTAAGAGCATAATTTTTTTGGCAACAGCGTGATATTATTTAAAAGACTCTTTATCTCCGGCCCAAATTGCATTCATAATGTGCAGTTAATGTTTGGTGGCCGAAACACTTTCATTATAAGATACTTTTTACCCACCGCGTTTCACTTGCGCTTTTTACGGCGGCGCACAGCCAAGAAAAGCTCCTAATTGAGCCTCTCAAATTACACCCAAAATTTGTATACCCTTTCTTGTGGAACACCACGCGAAAAGAGCGCATTATGTATTGGCGTTCAGGGTCAGAAAAGGTCAGTGGTTTCTTTTGGCGGCAAAAACTCGAGGACCTACCGTCTAGACTTCATAGTCTCCCGACGTGAGAAGAAAGAGCTCTTTGAATTTGATCTAAGGCGAGCGATCTCGACGGTTTAATTGTAGGCTTTTAGAATTTTTTTTCCATCCTACGAATTAATTAAAATAGCCTTCGACAAATAACGCAATCCGGGTCAAAATTTGTGAAGAAATAGCCTTTGACTTTGCATAGCATTCAAATTAAAGGGCTGCAAATTAAGTTTACGTTAGACAGGCTTTTGATTAATTTAAAAAATTAGAAAAATATCATTGCAGTGGAGGTAACAATGAAAAAATTAATAGACGAAGGCCGGCCATTGGATTAATATTTAATTGACGTGCAAAAAATCCTATAATCGTACATACGTATTTATGCCTTAACTTCCTATTGTCCGTGCCATTTGAGCAAAAACGTTTTTTCTTAGGAAATGCAGTTCATTACATCTGCAACGTACAATGTATTGCAAACAAACACCGGTTTGATGCCCTCAAAAATGCTATTGTTCAATGGGTGTTTGATTAACATGTTTGTCTTCAATATTTGATTAGACAAATACAATCTAGTGAAGTCTTCTTACGTGTTTTCTTATGTATGAAAAAAAAAGCCCATAATTAATTTAAAAGTAACACGTGCAAAAACGAAAAACTCTTAGAGCGTGGCAGAATCAGCGTAAAAGGCGTCTAGCCTCATAACAAAATGAGTCATTTAATATTTCATGCACGAGAAAGTTGCATTTTGGATTCGTATAAAAAAAACAAAACCTTTTATCAATCTACCGAAAATATTTCACGGATTCTTCACAGGAGACTGACACGAGTGACTCAAATGGAAAATCCACATTAAAATGTTTAAATTTGCATTGAAAAGCGAAATGACTCAATAACAGCCAGAGTCAAAAACCTTTTGATAAATATCTGTCGGATGAAAAGAAATTCATCCACTCTTTCCGTATGTCAACAATGTTTTTGAGGAATTGTGCAAGAGAATCGTGAATGTCTGTGGAGCCGCTGAGGCATGAAAGTCGGGCTTTATGTCTGGAATATTATGAATGTTTGGTGTTAGATTATCAATATTTCTGCCAAATATATTTCTTTTCACACCACTTTGTTGTGACACTAAATCACTCTTGCGAAATCTTGTATACGAATTTACTCGCGTGCTGAAGTTAAAATCAGCTGTAAAGTCAAATTTCTCTCATTCTCTTCCCCTTTCGGCAAATATGTAAGTATGAAAATCACGGCAAAACAAACAGGAATTTCTGTGTCAGACCAAATGTATTTCCAATGATTTTCCCCTATGATCTCATCGATCATTGACATGGAAACGCATTTCGCAGACAAAGTGTGAAATTTACTGCAACATCGTGGACATGGAGCCGCGAGTTGTTTGTGGGAAACACGGTAGAGAAGTGAAATAAAGATGCACAAATGTGTGGTATAGTTGCATTATTCAATGCTGAGAATTTACCAGGCAAATATTATGAATTAAATACTCTACCTACATATATGCACCAGACAAGTCGCATTGTAACGCTGCATTCAATCCATTAGACAGTCGCGAAAAGGCATTTCGGTGTCTCACAAACCGTGTGAATTGAGTTGAATTATTGTCGTGGACTGTGGCAATAGAGAGCCTCATTTCTAAAATGTATTTATTACAAAATGATCTATTTCTGGTATTTCAGCCACACAATCTATAGCCATGTAGAGCAAATTTTTTCAACAGATCAACCCATTCGCATGTCGAATCGACTTTATTGTTCACGAAACTCCAAATGAACCATATTTTCCAGTCACCAGATCAAATCAGGTGAAAGACACTTGAGTGGATCACACACAATTTCGCCCCTTTCCTTCATCACAATTTCGAGACACTGGCATAAACTTCTTGATTGTATGTAATTTTGAAGGAAAAGTGGTGTTAAAAATCACTTTCATTTTCAACTTACCACAAGACTTACCAGCATGGATGCCATCCAATGCAAATAATGACTTTCATGATGCATGTAAACATCTCCCTGAAGAAAATCACTACATGACAAAATTACTTTTATTCATTCAACATTCACAATACCGCTTCTCTACCATTTTCACTGGGTGCGCTGTTTTGAAATTGTATCTTACATGCAACACTCTCGTCTTGGGTACATTTCTTGATCGCTTTTTTCTCCAAACAATGATACCTCTTGATGGAGCTCAATTTCTCCCATGAGATAATGTCATTTCATCCGTGAATTCAATTAACACGAACATGTCAATTTGGTAGGAAATGCAACAATAAGTGCACAGTTTTCCAGTCGAAAATTCGCTGAACTTCAAACCGCTGAAATTACAATGTTTTCTCAATAAAAATTGCCCTCGACATTGTAATTTGATTTCAATTCAGGCAAAATTAGTAGGCACAATAGTGTAATTTACGCATAGTTTCTACTCAGCCTTGAAGGTAGATACTTTCATTGATTTTCCTTACATTAGCATTTTCAAAATACCACCTATATAGTCTTATCAGCTTTAATTGAATTGGGCCAGTGATTTTAGTTTAAAACTTAACCGCATTCACACATACCAATATCAGCTATTTTATTGGCATTTAATGCTTGTCACGATGAAATGACTTTTTGGAATGTGAGTAGAACATTATCAAATTAGATTTCACTGACTCCCGCTGTTCACTAAATGCTAATAAAAATTGTTACCATCGATGTTCTGAAAATGTGACGTGAATATCAAATATCGCCATCAGTATCTCTATCACGCTTCGCATGGGTTTTATGAATAAATTCTAGGAAAATGGTCCAGCAAATAAGGCATAATTGCGTACAAAGATAAACACACTTATTGCCAATTACAGGCGTTGTGTGTACCAAAAATTGCCTCCTGTAAATTGAAAATGACTCCTTAATCGTATAGCGAAATCAATGCTTCTTGCATGCTTGAGCATTAATGGAACAACATGAGTGGTATTTTTATATACACCCAATGATACACCATCAGCAGTGCCGCGCTGTGCGCTTGTGTGTGGAAAAATGAAATACTACATGTCGATGCTTTTCCATAGAAAATGCACTAACAAAGTTGCATTCTTTGTCACTTATTGCACTGACGGTAACGAGAGTGAAATAATTGTAGAGTTGAGATCTCGGTGCGGAGGCAAAGCACAATATAAAATAGTTGAAGCAACATTTTCTACAAGACGGCCGTTGTAACAATATAAATGAAATTATGCAATTAATATTTGTGTACAATTAATGGAATAAATTGAGCGTCAAAAATAATGACTTTGCAATGCAGAGAGTGTGCATGGCTCGGAATGCACAGTTGAGATGATAGTAGCTGGAAAGGGAGTGATTTATGTAAATCACAGTCAGTAATTGAATGCCGGAATTGTTTTTATGAAATCCAAAGTCACATAATTTCACGAGAGCAGCGCAAGGAGTGTGTGTGCGCGTTGACATGTGGAATCTAATGCATTTTTCTAATCACTCTTCCAGACACATTAGACAAATCGGACCAGTCGACAGCCGCACAGACGTGGTGGGGCCACAATGTGCCGCCGTCGGAGAAGAACTTCTTCTCCGCCACGCATGGGCTCGTGCAGACGCATCCATCTCTGAGCGGCGGCATCCCGCGGCCCTCGGGCACCCTCCGACCATCCAGTCCCACGCTGGGCACCAACTTGCCGCCGGCGCCCAATGTCAATCCCAAGTCGCCCTTCCGTCATCTCGACTTCACAAACAGCGCCACGGCGGAGCTGCGCCGCAATCCTAGTCTCTCAGCGCCCGATGAGTGCGCCCGCGCCTGCCGAGAAGGCGAACCGCCCAGAATCTGCTACTACCACTTCACCCTGGAGTACTACACAGTGCTGGGAGCGTAAGTCAGAGATTTGATCACTAAGCAAAATACCAAGATGGAAACTTGCTGGCCCAGCTGAACAAATATCGAGTTGTGAACTGATGCTGATTTCCACAGATCAGCCACTCGCTTTTTACTCATTATAATTCCAGTTTTTTTTCATAAAAATTCAGTTTAACGTTATTAATTGAAAAAGGAAGTTCAATCTGAGTGATTTCTTCGTCACGATGACATTGAACTCATGTGATTCACAAGCTTTCACTTTCCATCTTCACTATCACAGCGTGACTGCGGGATATCAGAAAGTTCCAATTTCAATTGCCAAAAAATGATTCATTGCGAAATATGTATTTTAATGAATGAAAATGAAGCTGAATGACTGAAACTCACTTTCGATTTCGATAAATCTTCGCGTGTAACTCATCTCGCATCGTCTCTAATTGTTATAAATGACTTGCAATGTCCGTCTCTCGCCCATTCAACCTTGCAGTGGTTTTTATGGTACTGCACTTTAATTGCCGAGTGTGATTTCATTGAATTTTTCGACTCTACAGTGCGTGCCAAGTGTGCACACCGAATGCAACCAACACGGTGTGGAGCCACTGCCAGTGTGTCTTGGCGGACGGAGTCGAGCGTGGCGTCTTAACGTCCAACCGGATGATACCCGGTCCCAGCATTCAAGTCTGCGAGAATGACAAAGTCGTCGTTGATGTGGAGAATCACATGGAGGGCATGGAGGTCACGATTCACTGGCACGGCATCTGGCAGCGAGGCTCCCAATACTACGACGGTGTGCCGTTTGTTACCCAGTGCCCCATTCAGCAAGGAAATACCTTCAGGTGAGAGATGGAGATATAAAGCGGCAAAGACAATCATAATTGAGGCTCATCATACCTTTGTCGCAATGTTTCTCAAATTCGCCTGAGGACATATCACAGATTAAGATAATTATCATCCAAACGGTTCAAGTCCGGAGATTACAACAATGTTTCATTTAATAAGTGCATGTTAAGCAATTTCAGCAGAGGCGTGAAACGCAATAAGAGCTGCTTATTGAATTTTTTGCGAATACCCAGCATTGCGAAAATAATGTGATAAGTTAATATAAAATGAAGTATAAAATTTAAGTAACTTTGCGCTCTTTTGGGTGCCTACGATGTTTCTCTAAACCTGTTACCGCGTATGACGTTGAGTATGGTAAAAACTGCAAAAACGATGGTTGGAATGTCCATGCAAGACAGGCATTAAATCTTCTGATCTTCGATATGCCGCAGGAATTCTGCTCAGCACTGATTGGATTAGTTCACTAATGATAATTAGACGGGGAGAAAATGATGCAGATAAATTTTGAAATCCTATGTTTCAACACCTTTTTCATTTCCTGCATATATAATTTATTGCACTGAATATTTTTATTAGTTCTCACATGCTTGAAATTATTAATTTTCGACGGAGATCAGAATGAGCAAACTAATTAATTCAAAATATTGACTCAACTCTTGCAGATGAATATTGAAGGCTTTCTTTTTTTGCAATTCCGCGCGCTCAGGCCTCATTGTTCCAATGAAAATCTTTTCATTTTGCCCAAAATTGTGCAATTGTGTGTCTAACATTGCGGATCACACGCGAAACTGACCACTTTTTCAACTTTGTTAACACGAGTCAACAAAGCAAGAAAATGAGTGTAGTTAGATGGCAAAGAATTCATTTGCTGTGTAAAGTGTCTTTCACGAAAGGTTTTATGGGACAATGAGGGGCCATAAAAATGCTGTTGGCTCGTAATGCACAACGCGTGGAGACTTAATTCGTCTGATAGATTGTCCGTCGAATGGTTAGGGTCATTTAATTCAAATCATATCTGCATTAGGTGCGTAAAAAGCAAACTGTCGAGCTCATTAATTTGTATGGGAACTTCTAATTAAATTATACCGCACAATTTTTCTGCCGTTCATGATTCGAATCTCAAGTTGCACCTCGGCGGCTGAACAAAAAAGTCTCTTGGCTTAATTCATGTGCACATTGCATAATTTGTTGCCCATTCTACATCGCGATTATCGGATAAGGTGGTTAAATAGTTGCGGACTTATTGGCATTTCTAATATTGTTTAAAGTGTAACACAATTGTTTTGCGCTATGGACAAAAAAGACTGATAAATTGGGGTCATTACATTCGGGACACGAGAGTGCTTTATGCAACTTCTTGTACAGCAAAAATATTTTCACTACCATACACCTCCGATTGGTGCTCTTTTTTGTACCTGGCCGACGCCAATTAACGCTACGTCGTGAACAAGTCGGCGTTATTAATTCTATTTGAGGCGGAAATTGGATTTTCCACATGCAAATTTATATAATCCTGCCGGTAGGATTTCGCACTACCTGCACATTTGCACTCTCATATCAAAAATCGCCCTGTCTGACATCTCAAAAAGCTCCAATATTACACACCGTGCGAGATGTGTATTATCTAATGCAATTGTAGTGCGACTCGGTTATGTGAGTAGCATTTGAAAGGTGTAATGGTAAATTGCTTTGTCGTGATTACAGGTATCAGTGGACAGGAAACGCGGGTACACACTTCTGGCACGCCCACACAGGCCTGCAGAAGCTGGACGGTGTCTATGGCAGCGTTATTGTCCGCCAGCCCCCGTCGCGGGATCCCAATTCGCACCTGTACGACTTCGATCTCACGACCCACATCATGCTAATCAGCGACTGGCTGCACGAGGACGCGGCCGAGAGATATCCGGGACGTCTGGCCGTGAACACTGGCCAGGATCCCGAGTCCCTGCTCATAAACGGCAAAGGCCAATTCCGTGACCCAAATACCGGTTTCATGACGAACACACCTCTGGAAATTTTCACAATTACACCTGGCCGCCGATACAGATTCCGCATGATTAATGCCTTCGCGTCAGTGTGCCCAGCGCAAGTCACAATTGAAGGACACAGCCTAACTGTCATAGCCACTGACGGAGAACCCGTCCAGCCCGTACAGGTCAACACGATCATATCTTTCTCAGGTGAGTGCCAATCACTCAATCATCGGAATCATCTCATCAATCGACCGATTTCATTCATAAAACCGCAGAGGAATGCCAAAGTACATTCACTCGGCGTGAAAAATGCCCCGCCATGCCATTAGAGGAAAATCTGAGAGGCGGACCAATTCACGGACTTGCGTGAACTTGCCCTTGACTCGAGTGATAGGATCTGCGTCACTTGGAAATTGATTTGGGAGTGGATGAAGAAATTAGTCATTAAACTCCGCTTGTAGGAAAGTCAATCGCTAACAGTTGAATCACGCGCCGTTAAAACATCCTGGAGGGAAAGTAAATACTAGCAAATGCTAACCTGATTCATACTTATTCCAAATATTATGTTTTAACACTTCACTCTTAATGCACATGGTAGGTTTAGTACTCAGTACACTGATCGAAACCCTATAATTCAGTGAGTTTGTTGACGACTTCGCAACATACTCTTCAATTATTGCTTTTAATTTACCTTTCTACATAGCAATTACATGCAAATGTTAGTAAAGACTCATAAAACGATTCGATAATTGTTTACCATTTAGCGCAGATTGTATAAAAATGCACACACTATCTAAGAAAATCGGTTCTCGTGACTAAGAATTGAAAGAATTCTTTGAGAACAACACTTGCTTGCACAAGACAATTAGTGAACGAGGAAATAACTTGGAAAACCTGAGTATTTATCTTAACTTATTAATAATTTTTTTCTTATTAGCTAGAATGATTAGAAATTCTATGTTTGTCAACTTTTCTCTCAGTTTATTCTCTAATTTCTCCATCAGTTATTTTTCTCTCGGCGACATTATTAAAAGAAAATTGCCATCTTGTTTCTTAGCCTCATTACGGCCTGAGGGTAATTTAAAACTGCCGAAGAGATTATGTGGTTAATGAAACAACTTTAAGTGATGTATAAAAAGATAATATCCTCCATATTTGGAATGAGGTTAAAATTGCTGGATATATCATGTAAATGTTTGCAGACATGTTGTGATTATGCCATATAATTGAACCACATTCAAATCATGAGAAATGATCTCTTTGCCTTGCAATTTCAATTAATTTTTCGCACATTGTGAATAATATGGTGTGTGAAGGCAGCAAATTTTGGGCTAATGCATTTCTGCAAATTGAATTCTCTTGCATAATATTGCCTCATTGGCTCCTGCAACATTGCAGTCTCAGACACAAGTGAGTGCTTGAAGTGGTTCTAGCAAATAAATAGATTTAATTGATGACTACTCGACGTAAGAATTGCTCTGCTGGATCATTTAGCACTTGATGCAGTATCGCTCGCAGGGCAAGACATTAGCGCATGACCATGAGTTGTGACATTTCACGCATTCGCAGAGATACAGCAACAATGTTGACTTCTCATTGCAGGTGAACGGTATGATTTTGTGATAACAGCTGATCAGCCTGTGGGAGCCTACTGGATTCAGCTGAGAGGTCTCGGGGAGTGTGGCATCAGGAGGGCGCAGCAGCTTGCCATATTGCGCTATGCCCGAGGACCCTATCAGCCCGCCTCGCCGGCACCCACCTACGACGTCGGCATTCCGCAAGGAGTGGTGAGTCACTCGGGGCGATGCATTGCGCTGCTCCTCGAATTGAGTCTCTGTAGTGTACAGTGTATAGATCTCTCTAGTTCGACTTTCTTTTGTACATAATTGAAGCAGGGATGTTTCACACACTCTCTGGTTTCTGGACACTCTTTGGCACCTTTCACATGATCTCTCCAAAATTATACACCCAAGACCTTCCACTAGTCACACTTGCCTCCCACCTCCTCAGATATGTAGAGCCAATTCAATTTCAATCACACATGACACACGTACAAGACAGATGATTTAGATTATAGAGAAAATATCATATGTTGGGTAAGTTGACGGTGAAGAAATTATGGTGTTATTCCCGTATGGAAATGCAGGTAATGAACCCACTAGATGCACAATGCAATAGAAGACGTGACGATGCCATTTGCGTGAGCCAACTCAAAAATGCCCTCGAAATCGATCGTGGTATTCTGCAAGAGAAGCCAGACGTGAAGATTTTCCTGCCCTTCCGCTTCTACCTCTACCGGCCCGAGGAGCTCTTCCAGCCCAACACCTACAATAGGTTCTTAGGTAAAATCACTGGCGCACAAATGGCGATTGTGGGATTTCATGTGTCATTGTGGCTTTGCAGTTGCCCCAACTGGAGATCATGTAATTTCGCTGATTGACGAAATTTCCTACCTCTCTGCACCGGCGCCTCTGCTCTCTCAGTATGATGACATCAATCCTGAACAGTTCTGTAATGGCGACAATAGGCCAGCCGACTGCGGTCCAAATTGCATGTGCACTCACAAAATTGATATTCCTCTCAATGCAATTGTGGAAGTTGTTCTCGTTGACGAAGGTGGGTTGGTCAAGAGCGCACAATGATGAATTGCTACATCTTTCTTTCCTCGTGCAGTTCAACAGCCCAATCTGAGCCATCCATTCCATTTGCACGGCTACGCTTTCAATGTTATTGGTATTGGCCGGTCACCGGACACAAATGTGAAGAAGATCAATCTCAAGCACGCACTGGACTTGGATCGACGCGGCTTGCTCCATCGCCAGTACAATTTGCCTCCAGCTAAAGATACCATTGCTGTGCCCAACAACGGATACGTAGTATTAAGATTTAGAGCTGACAACCCAGGTGAGTGTCCAGAAACAATTTCCAGCCATTTGCGGTGACTTTGACACTGAAAACAACGAATTATTTTGCAGGTTTCTGGTTATTCCACTGTCATTTCTTATTCCATATTGTTATTGGAATGAATCTTATCCTGCAAGTCGGAACTCATGCCGACCTTCCACCCGTTCCACCAGGTTTCCCAACATGTGGCGACCACACACCGCCAATTCCTATCAATTGATTCGCCTATAAATCCATTATTTACTGTTTAAATTAAGTACATGCATTTCCCCCTCTTTTCAATTGCATTTTACATTGAAACGTATTTAAAGAAGCATTCTTCAGATATACATCGTATGTCTTGCGAACTCGCATCAGATTGCAGTTCAGCAGGGACGAAAAGGCATTTGTTCACCATAGACACTTTTGTTATTTAGATAAAAAAATGATATAATTTATTGAGAATTCTCGTTCTCATCTCTATTCATTGATGTGGTTCTCAAACTCTCAGATGAGAAATCGAATTTTGATCTTCTTTTTATACTTTTCACAAACACATACACACACATAGACGACAAAATCATAGAAATTTTCTCGCCATATGATGTATATATTTTTATTTCATTCTAGCAATTAATTTAACATTGATACATTTTTTGATATAATGTTTGTATGTAAATTTAGAGTGACTTCTTTTACACACTTTTGGTGTTTTTCAGTGAAATATTATTTATGGAAAAATGCATTGTTGTAAAAAAAATATGGTTTTCATCACAGATCATTGTTTGATTTCCACACAGGAAGGTCGTGTAAATGATTTTTTATTTGGAAAAAAATGTAAATATTTGTGAAGAAGCCATTTTCATAGGCGAAATTCTACCAGTATTTTTAATGTAATTCTCTCTTGACAACAGACAAATGTACATATCATGTGCAGATACAAAAAAAAGATAAAATCTGTATATAAAATCCAATAGATTACCAACTACAAAAACTTTCGCTTCTCCAATGCAAGAACAATCAAGCAGACATTGAACAAGAATCAATCTAGTCTGAGAAGTTATCAGCAAAAAACACGCATTGTAATTTTAATAATACATTTAAACTTAAAGTAACATTTCTTAACTCACGAAATGGTTTTTTGTTGTTGTTCAAAATAGGTAAAAATGGGATTCACGCAAAATACTTGCCAATTTGATGTTATAAGAAATTTTTCTCATTGCCACTGCGAAATTTTCATGCCTGACATTTATACATTTTTTTTTATTCATTGACTTTCTCTTAGAGAAAAACAATACTCATCGATTGTCTAATGCGCTAAGGATACCATTATTTAAAGATGAATATAGAGTGAAGGATATATTCATTGAAATGTAAATAAATGTGAAAAATAATTTGTGGTGTTTTGTACATTTTACAGACATGCATATATTTTCTTTCAGTGTGAATATTTTCTTCTTTTGTTTTCCGTTTGTTTTGTACATATTTCTGGATTGTGTGTGTTTTTTGTTTCATTTATTTGCACGATATTCTTCAGGATTGAATGGTTTGTATATTTTTGGTTCATTTTTGTATAGTTTTACTCCTGTTGAAAGGTATATTTTATCAAGCTCAATCACTATCTAATGAGAAACTGCTTGAAGACTCAATTTCCTACCACTAAAGTGTTCGTACAGTTTCTATACACCCAATCAATATAATTTATCATATTTGCCACATGAATAAATCAGAAATGTTAGCAGTTTTGAATACTTAATTGATTGTTTAATGGGAAGCCATTAATTTTGAGCTTGACTGAATATGTAATTACCTTTCATCATTCTCAATTTCATTTTGTAGTATATTTCAAAGCGATTTTTCTTCAACGAAAATGTGTTAAATTTAACTAAATTAATTTCCATTCAAGCGAAATGCAATATTTTAATAGCTTCTTCACTTCCGCATAGGTCATGAATCCATTGGATGCAATCTGCAATGTTAAGCGACCGGACGCGGTGTGCGTGAGTAATTTGAAGAACGCCAAAAAGATCGACAAGGGTGTCCTGGCAGAGCGTCCAGACGTGAAGATATTCTTGCCATTCCGCTTCTACTTCTATCGGCCGGAGGAGCTCTTCCAGCCCAACACCTACAATAGGTTCTTAGGTGAGAGAGAGAGAGATTGTCGAGCGATTTCCCAGAAGCTTTGTTCTACGTCAAATCTAATTGCAGTTGCTCCCGGAGGAGATCATCTCATCTCCCTGATAGACGAGATCTCGTACGTGCCGCCGCCGGCCCCGATGATCTCCCAGATCCACGATATTCCACCGGAGCAGTTCTGCAATGGAGACAATCGCCCACCAGACTGTGATCTGAACTGCCTGTGCACCCATATGGTGGATATACCACTGAATGCCATTGTCGAAGTGGTTCTGGTGGACGAAGGTTTGTCGCAATAGAGTTAAGCTGCGATTTGTGCGCGGGAGACTTTCAAGTCACGAGACAATTTTATGACCCAAGGAAATTTGTCATGTTCAGTTGCCGCCAGAAAACGTCAAGAATGCTATTCACTCCGCAGTCAATCCATGGTAACATTAATTTCCCATACGGAATTGAATTTTAATAGCTCGCCACAGAGCAAATGCATTGTTGCAATACGGATGGTGATTTGCATTCGACTGTTCAAGAGGTTGTACTCTGAATTTGATATGGATAATTTGTGGTTTACAACATAATCTCAACTGGGGGAGTGTTGAAAAAACCTCTTTGTTCAGCATTTCACTCTGTTGAAAGCTTTTATGAGCTTAAGCACTACTAATGAAATCTGTAATGGACTTGCTGGATAAATTGAATCAATTGGATTTATTGAGATTTACTGACCTCTGGCCAATGAATTGTGGTATATTAGGTGAAATTACAGAAAACAAGAATTGTTTCGTAGGCTGCAAAATTATATTTGTGACTCTCATTTGCACAGTTCAACAGACCAACTTGAGCCATCCTTTCCACCTGCACGGCTACGCGTTCAACGTGGTCGGAATGGGACGATCGCCCGACAGCACTGTGAAGAAGATCAACCTGAAGCACGCCCTGGATCTGGACCGGCGAGGCTTGCTGCACCGAGAATTCAGCCGGCCGCCCATGAAAGACACCATCGCCGTGCCAAACAACGGCTACGTCGTGCTGCGGTTTAGAGCAGACAATCCAGGTGAGTGCATTCGCTGTTCTCCTCATCCGCCCAGCTGTGCTCATGAAAATTCTCCTCCTCCGCAGGTTTCTGGCTATTCCATTGCCATTTTATGTTTCACATCGTGATCGGCATGAATCTGGTGGTTCACGTGGGCACGCACGCAGATCTGCCGCCCGTTCCGCCCAACTTCCCGAAATGCGGCCACCATCTACCCCCAATCAAGTTGCACTGAGAGCAACCGATTTCCCACGTTCCGACGCGAGGCGAGAGTGAAACAACTCATGATTAGTCAATGAATTTGCTGCAATTCTATTTGTCTACGCAGATTGTACAATATCGTTAATTTAATGTTCAACTTCAGCATTATACCTTCGAGAAAACTCAAATCATTATCAAAGTTCACTCATATTATCATCCTACATCGCCCCCACTACAGATTTACACGAAAATACCACAAAGAGTAAAAGAAACCTTCAATATATGACACAATGATAGATGATAAAACCGTGTGTAAATAAGAGTAGCTTTAATAGTTAGTGGCAAATGTGATTATGCTATCTAATAATACTACAGTTACAACATTCTAGGATTAGAACTTATTGCAATGTATATAAATTTATCTGTTGTATTTAATAAAATCCCTGAAATACTTTTGATTTGTATACTATTCAACCGGCTATTATTTTGAATGTTGCATTTTGCCTACATCTCGGCATCACCTATCAGTTTTTGGGAACACTTTTTAAATCATCTCATACAGTGGGTGGCAAGAGTATCAGCACAAAACTATTACTATCATTTGAAAAAAGAAAAGTGTATAGCTGTGTAGTGCATTTTGTGGTGCTCCGAAATCTTAAATTATTATATGTATCAAAAACACTGAAAGGGTATTAGGTAATATTATTTATATAAAAACAAAAATATATATAGTTATTTTTTTATACTTATGAAAAACTTTAAATTAGAAAAAAAAACTATCTTGTACTTAATGTCCCCGGCCTTTTCCCTAGTAAATAGGCCTAAGGGATTAATTTAGACTTTCTCAAATCATTTCTAACACCTGGTCTTGATTTTAGGAAAGATCCTAGAAAAATAAAACATTTTCAAGCATAATAGTTACTCAACTTCAATGACCTCAAAAAACATATGACTTTCACATTATTAATTTCACTTTTACTGGTGCTGTACTAAAAATAGTAGAGTGGACAAACATGTAACTGATGATGGAATATTAAATGTTACTTTTTAAATAAACATTTTGTTAAATGTACAATCACAAAAGGTGTAATTTCATGAAAATAGACATTGATTTCACAGTAGAAATTCAATCTAAATACAGAATGATTTATAAATAGAAAATATTTGAACGTATTTTTATTCCAAAAACACACACACACACAAATTTGTAAATATATTATTTAAACCATACCCGAAATAACACAACTCCTCAAACCCCCATGTGAATTTACAACACTTTTGCCACCCACTGTACCCAATATATCGCACACTTTCTCTTTCTATTCGCACTACAAATGGCAGCTTTGTACTAATGAATTCACTTAAATACTATCGCAAATGTATGAATTATGAGAGACACGCGGATTACATGCAGGAATGTCGATGTCCAGGACGAGAAAATGGAAAAAAGACTCGGAAAATGTATGAAATACTTATGAAGAGGAGGTAAGCAATTACAATTTGGCGAGAGCAGAACTATCACTGGCTAAATTGCCCACTGCGAAGATATTCTTGGGATCCAATTCTTGCTTCGTGGCGTGATAGAGACTGAGTCCGACCGAGGAGATGCTCTGCGGATACCACTTCTTTCTCAACTTTCCCACACCGTGATGGTGGGAAATTGTGCCGCCTGAAGACAAAATTTCGTCACCTGTGCGAGAAAAAAGGTAATAAATCAGTCGGATATTGAGATCGCCCTCACATGTGATGTGCTCACGGGCTTTGCTTTCGATTTCCTCGTAAACATGCGCCGGATCGGCCATTCCGCGTGAGTTGAAGCCGAAGTAGAAGTAAACACAGGCCCCGGCATCGTACGTCTGTGTCACTCGACAAGAGATTAAATAGTCACTAATGCTGAGCGCGGCACATTCCTGTCCGAATCAACAAGAGTGATACATTGTCAATCCATCTGAGGTGCAATTAATAATATTCACTGGCAAATATTTACCCGTCGCACTCGCTCTTTCACATTTTCGCAGAGAGCCTCGCATCGATCCCATGGCACAGATGTCTCGAATGACTCCGCCACGACGTTGTAGTCCAAGCCCAGATCCTGCGTGTGAAGAGAGGCATACATTGTAAGCGAGCTTTCCCACCAGTTAAACACATGATCTAAGAGAGTGGCCATCATGTGTCATGTAAGTGACGATTTGTGAAACTCCGCGAGAATTAATGTCTGTCTCGTTCTCGGACAATAAGCTCAAAAGCCAGTCAATTAGACAGTATGCAAACTGGGAGGGTTCTCTTTCAACTGATTGTCTTATGGACTGCATTCATTTTCAGAGATCAAAAGTGATATTTCAATGGGCGGGCGGGAGTTATTGAATTTCGCAATTCCACAAACGAGCATTAAATTTCGCAATTAACTCTCTGTTATGATTTGCAAAGGTTAACTCTCGATCTATTTTTTCTCAATTTCAATTTGAGTGTTTAGGCGAATGTTCACAGAGATTACTCACCCGAATGTAAGCAATAACGAAAGTCAAAACATATCCTCGTTCCCCATTTTGCGCTCCAGCAGGAATTCCTCCGAATCTCTTGGCAATTTCGTAGATGAGCTTCTCCTGAGTATTCACATCATTCGTCTCACCCTCAAACAAGAGCGTCGTGACGCAGATTTTCTCAATATCAAATCCTTTCCACCCGAAGAGATATAATTTTTTCAGTTTCTCCACAAAACCCGTAAGGACGCTTCCCTCAGGCTTCAAGGCTTGACCAAATTGAAATTGCTCATTGTCTATAAGGCGGATAGAAGCCGGCTGGCAGCGTCTCTTGGCCACTTCCCGCATAAACTTCACTCCCGATGCAAAGTCCGGAAAGACGAGGGATCCATAGCGCTTCACAGGCGGCAAAGGACGAACCTTCAGGAGGACTTCTGTTACGATTCCAAGAGTACCTTCTGAGCCCATGATGATGTGATTAAAGTCAGGACCGCAGGAGACTCGAGGAGCAGCAATGTTTCGCTCAAGAACTCCTCGACTTGTGGCCATTTTCACTCGCACCACAAGATCTTCTATATTCCCGTACACGTTCTTCTTCATGCCACTGGCTCGAGTGGCCACCCAGCCGCCCAGAGTGGAGAACTCATAGCTGTCGGGCTCGTGGCCAACGGTGAGGCCGAGTTTCCGCAGTTCGCGCTCGAGATCCTGACCCACAATTCCCGCCTCGAAGCACACCACCAGGTTTTCCCTATCCAACCACAGCATCCGATTCATCTGGCACATGTCCACGGCCGCTATCGTGCGCATCTCATCGTGTGGACAAGTGATGGCGCCAGAAACACTCGTGCCTCCTCCGAAGGGAATGAGAACCACGTCAAGCTTATTCGCAAGCTCAACGAGCTCCACGACGGCTTCATGGGAAGCTGGCCAGAGTACAACATCAGGGATCCTCTTAAACGTGCCACGACGCAGAGTCTCGATGTCATAGAGAGTTTGCCCGTGGCATCTAATCAATCTATCCAATCCACTCGTTGAGAAATCCACTTGCAGTCTCCTCAGGTTGTCCACAAACTCCTGGCTGATTCTCGGCTCGGGGAGATTTTGGGGAATATCCTGAGATTTCTGAGGGTCATCCAAATCTACGTGGAATTTCTTCAGAACCCACTTCGTGAAGTTCGGCAAGTCTTGCTCACCAATCGGATACCTTTGAATAGAGAGAAAGTGGAAAGCCGATTATATTTAAATTATTGATTTAAAAGACATGTGCTGTTATTCCCAAGAACCATTGATTTACCGAGAACCACTGAAGGCTAGAATTTTTTCAGAGTTCACGTAGAACTTTGAGTCATTGTAGCCCCATCCATTCCACTTGAGGAGTTCATGTCTGAAAATGAAGAACGAATGAAATCATTAAGATTCATAGTGAAATAGCCAAAATGGAAATGTTTATTCAAAAATTTAAAGTTGTTTATCAAAAATTAACAACGCTATTATTATGCACGGCGTTTTTCCTGAATGCTTCACCACAAGTTCAGCCAATAAGAAAGTGAAAGGTAAGGGTTAAGCGACAAGAAGCCCATTGCGAATTTGTTAGGTAAGTCGGTTAAGGTCAATTAGATCTGCCAATTGGTACGTTAGTTAACTCAATGGGAAGCCTTTTTTGTCTGCAAAATATCATCAACAATCCAATAAGACCTACTCAAGAGCCTACTAATGTCTGATTTGATACATAGTTAACAAGCCTTTTACGCATCAGGATAAGAAATCTGCGCTGTTACACAACGTGAATTCCTCATCAACAAGTTGGACCATTCATACTTTCATCTTAAGTGGCTATTTATTTTTACTGAAGAAGTCATAATTAAAATGCTTTTTATTTGCACATCCAACAAAAGGCACTTCTCATGCAAATATCACGACAAAGTGTGATTTCTTTCCTATACGGACAACAAATAATGCAATCGAATGTTGAATACTCGAGTGTTGAAGTATCTGAACTTGAATTGTAATTTTTGTAGAAGTTGTTATTGTTAGATTTTCATTTCACTCTTGTCTTCATCGGATCTCTCAAATTGAGACTTTGGACGTTTTCTTTCGAAAGAGAAAAACAAAGTGTAGAAATCGTGTTAAAATTCCTAAATTGCTCTGCAGATAGGCAAATTGAGATTTTTATTGCACTTTTAGGGCATTTGAACCCACGATTGAACCACCGCGAGTTTGCTAAACCAGTTGTTAGGCCGTGTTGTTTTTTTTTGGCGAAAGCCCAAGACAAGGTGAGAGTGTTGTGACGTTTTCCTTTTGAAGAGAATTCCCTCTGAGAGAAAAGCCATTGTAACGTGAAGTGCGTGTCTGTGATTCGTTGAATCAGTTGTACTGACAATAATACGACAAAAGGTCGCTAAGAGACCGCAGAGCTGCTATTGCATAAGGTTAAAAAAAAAAGTGTAATAGACGAATTACAGATAATTCACACCCGAAAACTTTCATTTTAATTTCGAGACATGACTTCTTCATCTCCTCTCGTGCTACAAGTGCCACAATAAATTATATGACCACGATGACTAGCTCTAGGCACTCGACGTCTTCCTCTATCTCTTATGGCTTGACAGGGAAATCCGAGTCCACGGCTGTTTACCAGCGTCTCAAATCAAGTGTGTGATGGACATCGCGAAATATTTTCACCTCAATCGCATTGCGATCTTTTTTTGCACCCAGTCCAAAATTCCATACGCTGTCAAGTTACGAAATTGCTTATTAGCGAGCGATTTGGAGCTCAACTTTTTGCAAATTTGCTCCCATTAGATTTATTTGAAGGTTTCAATGTACACGAAGCCAATCGTTTGAACTAATTATTTTACTCAATTTTAATAACATGATTTTTTCTTTCAAGATTTTTTACTCACTTCTGTTTTGGAACCACACTCTCGATCTTCTTCGATGCCATTTCGTCTCTCGTGCTTGAAGATTTTTCACCCTTTTGCACCATTTTTGCGGCCTCAAAAATCACAATTAGAAGCGCCTACAATGTCCAGAAACACTGAACTCGCTGAAGTCACACTTTCCACTTTATCTTATCTGCTGTCTTATCATTTGTCATGCTCTGTGCAAACTGAATCGCGCTTCTTAGAAAATCGCCCCCAATAAATGGCACCAATAAGTTCGGGGAGCGTCCGAGAAGTGTGATTGAAGGCCTCCCTAGCAGTATCTGAAGCGGATCACGAGATGAGTCTCTCGCCAGAGCGTCCGACTCTCACAAATTTAAGGAGGGAACTGTGTATAGATTTTTTGGACGCATGAATAACAATTTTTTCGGCACGCGTTTAGGATTGACACGATGGTCTCTCTTGCTCAGCGCTTGTTTGCTTGCTCACACCTCCGACACTCGCGCCACACACTTTCCCGTGAAACACCTGAGAAGAGTGCCTATTTATTGTGGTTTCTGTGGAAAATACACGATGCTTTTCTCACGATTCCCGGTGATTCTCAGTGACAGAAGACAATTGAGGACGTCCGGTGGCAACGCATGCGTCGTTTAGAAAACCCTCGAATTTGATGGAAAAGGCGGGAGAGCTCTAACCCACCGCGACATCTGACGGTGAATGGATGAAGTCGTGAGCGTTTGAATTTTGACTGTTTACTTAGATTTTGTCAGTCTTCTTATCAAAAAATGATTAAAACTATTGAGAAAACACACACATTTTTCAGATTTTAAATATGTTTAATTTTATTTCCAATCTATTTTTTACAATAAGTACTCATACGTTTGCTACAATCTATAGAATTACTAATAAGTGTTCACTATTATACGATTGACACTACCATGTAATTTTATATTCTAGCGAAGAAGCCGCCTCCACAAACCTGCAAGTAAAATAGCATATCATTTTAGTATAATTTGAAATATATCGTAAAAGTGAAAATAATGTATTGTACATAGAAGTTGATTTCTCCATTCTCTCCTTCAAGGTATCGTTATGCTAGATGTACAGATTTTATTTTTAAAATTACAGTTATACTTTATTGTTAAAACACTATAACTAACACCATGATCTCGACTCTCTTGCTATGCATAAATGTGTTCACGAGTGATTATAAAGAAAAAGAATCACTTAATCGAGTGAAGTGGGGGGAAAAGAGCGGGGAGCGTGTAAATGTAAAGAAGGTCTGTTGGTGTTAAACAATATCATGAACAAGTACAATGTATACAAATGATCAGAATTATTATATTGAAAGTAGTAACAATTATCGTGCTTTTGGTGGGGTCAATTTCACTTTGTTATCATCTCTATCGTTATAATTCTCACTTAACATCCTCTCATTCTATGCGCGATTACACTTTTTTTTTCATCATTCATTATTATGCTTCTTTTTTGTATAGATTTATGAGTAACTTTCGTGAATTCAAATTAATAATATCACAATTCCTACAAATTGTATACTTTTACGTACAGTGATTTGTTACAATCGTTACAATATATTGGAACAAATAGTTGTAACAAAATAGAATAATCCTATACTATTTCTCTCTCTCTCTTTCTCCACCCAATTTGTCTTTCTCATTAAATGTCCTTTATCTGCGCGCATCTCGACTTGTATTCTCGAATGACATTCTCGATGGCATTTGTGATTAATTTAAAAATCCCTACTTAAATAGTTTTTCACCTTAATTTGGACTTTTACGTCACATAATTTATAATTCACAATTTTCAACTCGATTTAATTGTTTTTCACTCTTCACCTCCTCGCGTCTTTATCATTTAAAGTACAAAAGAGTTAACTATTGAATTATTTCACCTTGTTAAGTCACCTAATCTACATAATCAAGTTGTCTTAAGTGTTGGGGCAGGGGTACAAAAAGGGGACTTTAATTGATTCTTGCCGCAATAAGTGTAGTTTTTTTTTTAACTTTTTGTTTCATTTCACCTTCTCCTCTCCGCACACAATAAGTTTCTGCTTTTCGCATCCTCACATTGGACTTACATTTAAATAAGATTTTACCCGCTGAGATGTATATAAACAAAATAAAAGGTCAAATAAAATGTCCAATAAATGATAAAAGACATAAAAATAACAAAAAAAACTAATCAAGTTAATATAATGTTATCACAAATGAACCTATCACAGAACAACAGGTTATTTCTCTTCTTTTCACTCTCTCTGTCTCAGCGTGCTTCCACCCGTGCCTCCGCTCTATTTCTCAGCGTGCTGGACCATCGGCGTGGCGGATGGAGAGTCCTCGTGGCGACTCCCGCAGGACTCCTTCAGGAGGCTCAGCGAGTCCCTGGTGATCTGCCCAAGAGAGTGACTCTCGTCGGTGGGCGTGAGTGGGCGCAGTCCGCACTCCAGCTTCTGGCTTATCTCCTCCGTCTCAGTATCATCATCACCGCTGCCCACCTCGAACTTCACCTTCGTCACCTGCATGGCGTCCTGCAGCAGGTCCACATTGGCGGCGGTGATAGTGTGCTCTGGGGAGATGTTCTCCTTAATCTCTTGCTTCAGCGCCACAGGAATGCAATCCGCCGCCAGCACGTCTATCTCTGGACAAGTGGCCGTGTTGTCCGGACTGACATTGGCCTGCAGGACGGTGGTGGGTTGGCTATCAACAGGTGTAACGTCTTCAGACGAAGCCTCTTTCTTCCCAGACCCCGTCACGCGCGCGATCAGCTCCCCAATGGGACTGTCACGGCGCGGCACGAGTGTGGATGCAATGGATGGGGTCTGGCTGATATTCTCCTGTCCGTCCAAGTCCAACTTTCGCTCCATCTTCTGCGCAAACATGGCGACAGGAGTTTGAAATATTTGAAGGAACTTATCGAATCCCTGAGGATTGGGCGCCAGTGTCCGTGAAGTCTTCCTCACTCGCTTCTCCGGGCTCTTGACTTGGAGTCCTTTGGGCACTAGCTGAACGCTGCTCGTGAGGGTGTTCTCGTTGCTGCTCATAGAGCAGAAGGATTCCTGTTGCGTGGAATCGGACAATGACTCCTGACTGGAGACACTTCCCTTGTGCTTCTCCCCAAACTTCACCATCGGATCACTGCCCATAATGTCCAGGCTGTCCGTGGAGCTCAGAGAAGTGTTGATGTCGTGCCTGTCGAAGGAGTCCGCGCTACCGATGGAGGAGTTGTCGTCTGTTGTGAGCAGACGACTCACTTCCATGTCCGGACTGTCGATCACCTCCACTTTGATCTCCCTTTCAGGCACCACCATCTTCTCCACAATGATCGGAGTCGTGGCCACCACGGGTACTGCCACAGGAGCCGGAGCGGGTGTCACGGGCTTCTGCTCTTTAATGGTAGTCACACGGAAGCGGGAACTTGTGATGGAGTTAGTTGGTGAGCTGCTCGTGGATGAGGGCGGTGTTAGTGGGGAGCCACCCTCGATGACGCGCGACACTTGAAAACGGCTTCGGGACGGACTTGGCACTGGTGATGCACTGGGAGATGGATTAGGACTGGGCAGAGGTGATCTCAGGCGCCCACCACTTTTCCTATTTGAGTCCAGCAACTGCCTCTCCGGCTTCCCACCCGCACACATCAGATCCAGCGGAGAACGCGTGGAGCACGTGAGAGAGATCTTTCGTGACGGCAGAAAGGCGCTCCTCGCGCGCTTGGCTGTTGGCTTGATGGGATCGCGCGGCTCCAGTGGCTGCTCATTGCGTCGACACTGCGCCCGGATGCTCGTGAGGATTCTGGAGTACTCCGTGGTGTCTGTGCCGGTGTCCTGGAAAGAAAACGAGACGGTGGAGCAGTGAGAGAAGTGTTACACGGAGATGCAAATTTAGCTATAGAATATACATATCGTTTGAGAGTGTTGTCCAAATCCAAGCGAGTGAGAGTCTTGTTGACTTTCAACGCGTCGTTGAGGGCTGTAATCCCTGGTATTTGAATGTTGTTGTCGCGAAGGTCTACGCGCTGGAGCACCCCATTGGGGCCCGTTGTCAGCACCTCGCTCAGCGTCTTTGCGGCTATGCACGTGAGATGAGCACTCTGGAGACCAAGATTCGTGAGGCTGGTGTTCGTTATCAGGTGGGCTTTGATGCTCGTCACGAAATCGTTGCACAGGATATTCTTGCCAATATTGAGGATCTCGAGCGTCGTGGTGGCCTTCAAGACGTCCGACACCGGCGCCGCAGATCTCTTGGTAATGCGATTATTCCACAATACCAGCACCTGGAGTCCCGAGGGAGCCGTGATGGGCGGCGGCTCCACTGATGACAAATTCTGCCGCTCCAGAGTCCCATTCTTTGAGAACTTGCTCTCAGCCAGCTTGATAGAGCTCTTGGAGTCATTGGACTCAATAGAGGTCTCGCTGTTTAGACTCTCCGAGCTGAGAGAGCGCTCAGGGATGATCTGCCGCGCCACAGGCACATCAAACACACAATCGAACGATGGCGAATTCTCCGGGAAATCTATGCTGCTGTCCAGCGACTGTGACACCGTGAATGAGGCCGGGCTGTCCGGTGTCATATCGGAGGAGCATTTGGGTGATTTGGGTGTGCCAGGATAGATCAAATTAGCGTCCGTTGGCACACTTGCCTCCTTCAGTGTCGCGTCATTGGAATTGGTGAATGAAAGCATCTCGGATATTGTCGCCTCGTCGCATAGTTTTGGCAGCGTGGTCAATTCCTCGCTGTGGGTCACATCACCTGCAACAATCTCCTTCACGGGATTCCTATTTATATCGATCAGACTGGCTGTGCACAATTCATTAACTGATTTATCGCGCTCCGTGTCGATGAGCACCTTATCTTGGCCATCGTCCGACATATGAGTGCTCTCGTTTACGTCACTCGCCGAATTGTTGTTCGGACATTCAGCCTCAGTCGGCACGGGCGCCTCTTCAGTGGCCTCCACAGCCACTGGGATGATCTCCTCCTTCTCCACTATCTTCAGCTCGATCTCCTCCAGTGGCTTCTCCTCTGACACAGTTTCAGTCGATCTCTCATCATCCGCTAATACTGGGCTTTGTACAATCTTTTCGTCTTCCGATGTCTTGTCGTCACTATCGCCAGACATCTCTCGCTCTGTGCTGTCCAACACCTCAGGAATTGACCCTGCAATGTGCATTTCATTAGTAGTTGTAATGCTGAGAATTGCATTGCGTGTAAGATATTATTATACCTTGTGGTCCCGTGTTATTGTTGTTTCTAGCCCCTTCGTAGATCGTCACGAGCTTGCTATCAAGCCGCGGACTCGGATCAGCAGATTCTTCGCTCTTTTCGCCATCAGAGATCTCAGGAACAGGTTCAGGAGCTAAGATAATCTTTTCAGGCACCTTCAGGGACTCTACAATGGGCGCTGCTACAGGACGTTGAACAACTGGAGGGAGTGTTTTCTTGGGTTCGAACTTCTGCATGGCAGGATTCTCGGGCGCCTTCTCAGAACTGATGGGATTCGTGGTGTTCCGAAAGTATTGGCTCTGCTTAATGAGAGCCTCCGCGATGTGGCACACGCCGTTGTCCTCGATAGAGTTGTTGCTGATATCGAGAAACTGCAGGTAGTAGTTGGCCTTCAGCAGATTCCCAATCGTGTAGGCGTCGTAGCAGTTGAGGTCATTGTGCGCCAGCCACAGTTCCTTCAGCACCGTGTTCTTCTTCAGGGCGGAGCAGAGTGAGGACAGTGGACGCCCGGTGAGCCCACAGTGCTCCAACTTGAGCGTGTGAATCGCCGAGGACATCAGAGCCTTGCCGAGATTCGTGGCGTTGGATTCGGAGATGGCGGTGCCGCTGGTGAGCAAGGCGTTGAGGGCCTGACTCTTCTTGATCATCGCCGCGCACGCCTGCCACCCGCGGTGGGAGATGCAGCAATTCTCAGAGATGTCCAGCTCCGTGGCCGCCTCGTAGAACTCTATCATGTCAAACATGGCAGACGCCGAGCTATCATCCAGGTCACATGACGTCAAGTCAATTAGTTTGTATTGAATCTGCAAAGAGAGTGAACATACGATGCATGTTACAGACTGGAGGTGAGCCTAGAGGCATCGCATTCTCACGCCAGAGACCTCATAAGTGGGAAAAGTTTCTAAAGCTGAATGTTTCTCAAAACATTCATTATCCCCCTATTTACTTTTACGAATGACATAATCATTGTTTTACTTCTGCTTCTTTCTAGGAAATATTGATAATTAAAAACATCTCTCAATGTGTGAGTGAGTATAAATGATGCTGCAAAACATTGCTTCTCTACACTATCTTTAGAATAAATCTTTTTAATAATTGTAATTTTAAAAATAGCAAAACAGCAAGAAGTAAAAGCAAAATATAGTACGTAAGCGATGTTCATCGTCGATCTTTACAGGCTTAATGGGCTTAATGCTAATCATAGGTATCAAACAGCGCGTAGATTGCTTGCATGACTAGCATAGTAACGTATTTTAAGAACCATCGTCGTATAGCTAAGTGGATAATAGCTTCAACAACCCCGCGAGATCTCTTAACACTGGGCGCGTTACAAATAAGATTTCGAAAAAGTGAAGAAAAACATGCTCATTTGCAAATTTATATAACATCACGTATCGGAAGCAAAAAAAACTGTGCAGCAAGAAAGTGGAAACAAAGAATCATCGAGTATGCTGAGAGCAGGAAACAAAGGACAAGTTGTGGCCATCACAGAGTCCTTGGGGGCCTTCTGTGGTGCAGAAGTTACGTACTCGCTTGAGAATCTCCTCGAGGGCTTCGCATGATTCGGGCTTGAGTTTGCTGTCGCGGAGGATGAGCGAGTTGCTGCGGAGCGTCATGTTCTGGAAGTCGAGGCTCTCGAGGTGCTTCACCACCACGAGCAGCGGCTCCACGTCGTGCTTGAGGCAGGATTTCTTGTACAGCTCAATGAGCTCCTTGGACGTGAGGTTGGGCTTGGCTGTGGGCGAGACAGAGAGGGGGCGAATCGGATAAGATTACTCAACAGGCCGCGAGTGTGTGCGTGCGTCCGCGAGAGACAGAGTGGCTCGGACATGGCGATACTTACAGATGGCCCAGGGATTCGCGGGCTCCAGGTAGCCCGTCACGAGCTCGCTGTCGTGCTTGGGGAACGAGACGCGTCGACTCGAGGACAGGTGGTGGACGTCAAGAGTGCCAGCCTGTCTCGCCTTGGCCCATTGACGGCGCTGGCGATGTGGTAGGTGTCCATTATTCCCTGTGATCTCTCTGTTGTCATCACTCGCGAAAACTCCCTCCGCCTGCTGGCCATCGCTTCCGGCGCTCTCCCCCAACTTTGTGGCATTCTCCGTCACTTGGGGATCATCCATTGCATTCTCTGCTCAGTGCTCCTTCACGCCAAATGCTTGTAGAAACGCCCAGAGTGGCAAAAAAGTTTTATTTTTAATGTGCAAACACTTTCCACTACCACTACTCTCGAAGGGAATCCCACATCGACTGTCACTCTCCACTTTCCCACCACTCTGCTGAGGCCTTCAAAGTTGCATGAAATCCGCACACACCACTGAAACTTTCGCGCGGAGAGCGCGTGTGGAAAATTTCAGGAAACTTTCCACTCCCAACACATTCCGAATTGGCTCGAAAATTCTCAGACAGCCAATCAAAATACAGAAGAAAAGATAAGTATTTTGAGTATTTTCTTGTGTTCCGCGTAAAATCGCTCGCAAACGGACCACAAAATGTCAAATCGATTTGAATAGCAAAAATGATCAGAAATAAAATAGACAATTATCCATTAGCACAGAACCCATAGAACATGATTAATTTCATGCATTTCAACCAATTCGTATACGAAAAATATTCTGATGAAATCTATGAAACTTTGATATGAATTTTACCACTCATACTTGGAGTGGTGAAAAAAACATCGCGGCGACCGATCGAAGCGACGCCACAGCAAAGTAACCGGATTTGGAAGAACCACTCGTTTAGAAAATCTGATAAAGTAACGGTGATAAATTAAATGTTTTCAATTTTATTCACAAAAACATTGTCAAAGAGTGACGATTTAGAGTAAGAGTAAAAGAAATAAGTTGAATAAATATTACACGTATTCTAGAGACGTTTACTGAAAAATTCTTACAATTTTTCCAGTTTCAAAAGAAATTAAGAAAAATCATGAACTAAGCATTTATTTCATATGTTTAGAATTAAAGAAAATTAATACATTTCAAGACAATTACTTACCATTTAGTAATCTAGTGTACTCAGAATTCTATTCAGGTATTTTAATTAAAAACATTTCATAGCTGAAATTGAGCTCAATGTGTTTTATTGAATATTTTTATTAAAAAAAAAAATCTCTTACAGACTGCAAATTCCGGGTATTTTTGAAATTTTTCCGTCACATATCGGGCAATCGAAATGAATATTTCGGAGGAAGTTCAATTATGTTGGCAAAAGGGAAATTGAGGATATTGATTTTTCCCTTTCTGATATTTTTTTTCTGTCTTTATTTTCACAGAGTATTGCTCTCTCATAAAATACATCTGAAGCTTAGTAAATAAATACATTTTATCACAATCTACTGTACATGTACAATAAGTCCAAATATATCATAACAATCTGTAACAATTAACATGGATTGTAAATACACATTCGGCTCTCTCGCTATTTACTATTACCTCGCTATATTTGCCATTCTTTGTAAAAGATATGTAATATCTTTCTTCACCTTACGCCTAAAAATTACTCATTATGAATCTACATGAGCCTCAATAAATTACCTCTATAATTCCTTAATAGTTACATTAAAAGACATATAATCAATTACTTAACGCCTAATCTTATTAATCGACATCAATTCCATTTTTTATCAATTAATCATTCCCATGTGGATTTCCGAGGACACGGTGGAGTGTACTTGCCCTGTTTGATCGTGCAGACGGTGGCAATTGATTTTCGGAAGTGGACAGCAACTCTATTTGGGGGAGAAAAAGAACACGTGCGGGAAAATATCATCTTTGATATGCAAATCAATATTCAGGAGCGGCTATAGACAATGCATGAAGAGACTCAACTTTGACTTTCAAATGGGAATTCCTTAAGGTCAAATGGGGTCAATTTCATGCATGGTTGCCATAAGAATCCCGATGTGCCCATCAATATCCAGGGCAAAATGAGGCACGTTTTTGATATTTTTCGCACAGGCGACCGCACAGGAGTGGGAAAATCGACGTGGGCGCGAAATTGCAATAAAGATGAAAATCGTCACCCACAATTTTCCATATATAATTTTAATTTCAGCCAATTTGGCGAGGCATCTCTCAATGTTGATAAAGCATTAATTTAATTGAGCCTAATAAAAAATACGCAGGTGTTCCTCTCAGCGAGATAATGATTCATGGCAATTCCTTCTTTGTAACACGAGACGCCAGAGATGAATGTAATTATGCTCTCAAATTTAAATGACTATCAAATGTCGCGAAGGCAGTCTTCCTGCTTATCGTGCGGAAATAATGCTGCCAGCAAATGTAATGAAAATGTTTTGCAAAATGAGACTGGATTTTCGGAGAGGTGTATGTGTGTGTTCTTAGGTAATTTAGCGTATTCGTGTAGTTTGGAATTGTAGTGACACAAAAGGATTTTTCCGAATGAAATCTTCACAAGCTGTTTAATTAAATCATACTCTGAATTTTGCGTGGCGGGCAATTAAATATGCAGTTCCATGCTGGAATGCTTCTTTTGTTCCTAAATTGTAATTGAATTGCATAATGTACTAAGCCGAGCTTTGCCACGCTTTACGGATATATTGCTTAATACAATTGAGTTCTGCATACGTGATTCGGTGAGGCTCATTGTTGGGGTGTCTGAATATTTTATTGTCTTTCGTTAGACCTTCATGCGCTGAGGGACGAATCAAAAAGCTGTCAAGTACTCAAATATGTACTACATAGTATTTAGTATGTGATTTTCCTCCACACTGTAATTACTTTTTCCCATATATCAACTCAACACCTCAGAATGGCGCCACAAATGCGGTATTGGGCGATTTTTGGCCTCTCTTTATTGAACTGTTGTCAGACTACAGCGGAATTTCTTGGGAATTTCTCCGAACTCCAGCCATGGAGGTTTTGTTGAAATTTTTTCCTGGCATTTTATGAGTATCTGAATGATTTCCAGTGAGCATGAATCACGGCTATAAATACACTTAACTGTGAGGCGCGTGATTACGAAATGGGAAAAATTCGGGATAAGGTGCAAATGAATTGCTTTAGGGGTGGATTCATGGGGAAAACTCTCAACTGCTGATGACTGAATGAAAATTCGAGGTATTTTTCAATAAACATAAAGGGCGTCTTTGATGTTGCTGGGTTGAATGTGGCTGTAAAAATATCTCACCTGCAGAGTCTTTTTGAAAGCGGCACGGAATTCTCGGTTGAAGTATGCGTAAATGACGGGATTGAGGGCCGAATTGAAGTAGCCGATCCAGAAGACAACCACAACAACTGTCTTGGGGGTGGAGCAGTGGTCGCCGCACAGCACGTGAATGACGTACCAGAGGAAGAAGGGGAGCCAGCACGCGAGAAAGGCACTCATAATGATGCCCAGCGTTCTGGCCGCCTTGCGTTCCCGCCTCATCTTCGAGCTGGCAATTGGCTCTATCGGTTGGATGTTCTGCTGTCCCGCCACGGCAATTCCATTAATCTGCAGGTGCTTGTCCAGCAACAGAGCTGCAACTTTTGATCTATAGCTGGAGAGAGAGAGATGCGGGAGAATTATTAGTGGAAAATGGATACGGCTTCAAGGACTCTTGACCTACAGCATTCGCTCTTGACGATCTGCCTCCTGATATATCTTGTAGTACAGGACGCACATCATGAATCCGGGTATCCAGAAACTTACAGACGAGCTAATAAGGACATAGGAAGTATTCACAGTGAATTCACAGACATCGGGATGATGCTTCAAGTACTCGAGATTGTCTTGCGTGGTGTACCATCCAAGAAAAATTGGCACGAAGGACAGCAATGCTGGCGACAACCACACTATCGTCAGCATGCACCACACTCTGGACGACGTCATTATTAATGGATAATCCAGTGGCTGGACAATTGCATAGTATCTGTTGGTTGAATAAAGAATGCAGTAATTTATTTACCCCCAGTGCTCAATTTGTGCTATCACAATACAGCAAATTCTGCATAAACTTTCACCCACAAATCTTTTCTCAGTTGAGTTCCGCTCTAGGAAGTTATAACATAAAAGGTGAATCCCAGGGAAATACGCAGAATGAGATGAAATGCCGCAGGTTATTAAGAATCTGAGATATCATCAGGGGGATAATCACTTCCCTGCTTCTCGTGCACAGATTGTTTATTCGGCACATCGACTTCTCCATACCTCTTTCGTCTCACGAGCTTCCGAGGACTCTACATGAATTTAAGCTCGCTTCTGCAGACGGGAACATTTTCTCTCTTTGGTTCATCATATAAACATGACCGCGTCTTGGGAAGCGATCATGCTTGAACGCTAAAGTCACGGGTAATATTTTCCCTCGAAAGTTTTCAATCTATTTCAACTCTCATGCGAAGGAAAGACAGATGATGCTCGCAAAAGTTTCTTTGGAGGTGTCAAAGCATAAAGAAGAAAAATTGTCTTATTTCACTGGATAATGCTGGAGTTGGGAAATGGTCAATAAGGCGGCCTCGAATGAGAGAAGGTGCTAAGAAACACGGAAAAATTTCAGTTAAATTGCTTTGCGTCACTTCATTATATGAATCTAGAGGTAATTGTTAATACATAAAATGTGGCTTTTAGGTGGAAAAACAAACTGTTCGGTGTTGTTTTTAGACATGCCCTGATCGGAAAATCAATGGAAATTTCTAGTTCAAGCACCGCCAAATAACAGCTTTCACAAATCTCTCAGGTTTTATATTGGAAAGGAAGGGATTATGCTACTCTATCTATATTATTATTAAGATTAAATATTAATTCGCTGGAGATTTGAGTGGGAATTTGAAAAAAAAATACCTTTACTCAAGAACTCGAAACACTTGAGTTCCGTAATAACTCACATTTCTCATTTAATTAAAGCAAGGATTAAAGATTCAACAAGAGTTTCAATTAAAATCGTACATTTTTGAAGCATATGAGAAATGCAAGATTTTAAGTGAAAAATCCCTCTGGCACAGAATAAACATTTTATCAATTAACAATGCGATACAATCCTTCTTTCTTTCTGGAAAACTTTCAAACAGAATGCACAGAAGAGTCTCTTGTATAGAGTGCTATTATTCTAATGGCTCATGCGTTGACGTAACAGTGCGGGCGATTTTCATGAGCGCCAATATTTACAATTCATTTCTAAAGTAAACTGCCAGATTTAAGTTCTCCATCTGTTACATTTAAATTGATGGTATTAGAGAAATATAAGAAGTAAAGTGTAATCTCTCACATTTTAACAAGTATGGTGTGCCTTTGGGAAGCGAGTCCGGATGTTCTTAATCGCCGAGTCGGAAGACGGAAGTGAAGACCTTTGGGAGACTTATAGGGTTTTCTGGGGAATACTTGTGCATTTGCCAGGCAGAGTAAGACAGCAAACTTCTTAAGTGATGGGTGTCACTTAGGTAAATTCTACTCAAAGCAAAAATTATATTGAAAAGTTTATCAGAGAGTGTGGGAGTTGAGCTAAAGTGTCATGGTTAGGCAAAATGTCTGAGAAAAGCAGGGGCTCTGATATAAAATCGATTGAGATGGTAGAGATATGAACATCTGAATTGTGACTTATATTAGAAATAACATTTTATATGTATAGAACTGTGTTGTATAAACTTTGGGCGAATTCCATTCAAATCCATCTTGTATAGCCAGTGAAAGTGTGTATACTTTGATCCTGCGAAAATTAATTGACATGCGTTCAATTTAAGCGTTCACGAGCAATTTTCCCATTGGATTGTGAGAGAACGTGAATGAAATTTATTACTCGACAGCGTATTTGGATATGCAGTAAAATTGAGCAAACTCCGCTCTTCAATTACTGGAATAACATTTTTCAATAGACTTAGACCGCTATTAGGGTTTATAGTTAAACATCTGAGCCACCCTCATGATAGACTGTGAAGATTACACCTCGTTTAGTTCTGAATAGGAAAGCAGGGTGGCTTCAACCGATCGCCCCATCGGACTTTGGAGCATCTGACAAGCTCTGGGGAGGTTCTGTCGACCCACCCTGTGCAGTGGATGCTGTATAAATGGATTCCGAATGAGGGTGTTTTGATCCCGGGATTTTGGTGAGTTTGAACACAACCTCCCGGCCCCCCAGCGCGACGGCCCATCGTACCTGTCCATGGAGATGCAGCACAGATGGAGGATGCTGGCTGTGGAGAAGTACACATCGAGGCTGTTCCAGACGTCGCACATAAACGATCCGAAGAGCCATCGGCCAGAGATTTCCACAGAGGCATTGAATGTCATGGCACACAAAGCCTGAAATTTAATTAGCAAATGAGAGTGAAGCTCTTCTTTTATGCATGTGGTGTGCCAACGACACAATTTCATGTTTCATCAACTCACCACCAGCATATCCGCCATCGCAAGTGACACAACAAAGTAGTTTGTTATCACCCTGGAGTGTGACGAGCGGGAGTTGTGAACCGGAGGAGGAGAAAGAGCCAATTTATAATTTAATGTAACAAGTTTGGGGACGAGAGAGTGAATGGTTTGGAGGCACAGTGAGACGAGGCGGATTAATTCTGGAAAACACTTTTGAGGTAAATTGAAGAGAAAATCTAATCGTATATAATTTCCATATTACTACCCAAACACTATATGGCGGTGGCATCCTACAAGTTCTGCCAATTCCAAATGAGAAGCGTACGAGAGACTCATCTTCCTCAAGCATACATATTTTCAACATTAGCATATTATTTTGCAAAATAACTCTCCCACAGTGCACAATATTAACTCTATATATATATGCTGTGTCTACAGGATTGCTCCATACGTTCTGAGGAATTTTTATCACTCGTGGCTGGGGTGTGAGGAAATGAGAAATTCTACGCAAAATATGTCAAAAAATACATGAAAATAAGACAAGGAGGTGGTGTCGTTGCAAAAAGCGTACATCACTTTTCCATTTTCCCTACGCAAGCAAGCATAGAAGCGCAATCAAACCCGAGCAATTAAGTTCCACAAGAATTGCACATATTGCAGTTGGAACAGTGGCAATCAGTACAAGTTTAGAGCTGCAAAGTTTGAGAACAAGTTCGCACTGTGATGGTGAACTTTGCTGAGAAATTTCTCAAACTCCAGCTTCGCCAACAATGGAAATTTTCATAATTGTAGATTCAGTGAGTTTCTTAATTCTCAGGCGAAACATTGCGCAGCAATCAGAAAATGGATCTCTTGAAAACTATTCCATTTACTTTTACATATTATGTAGGGGAGGAGAAAGTGGGGAAAATTGCTATTTAACAATGATTATTATCAAATATTTATTATACGCATTATCAGTTATTCATGTCACTTTCGCTAATGAAATAAATTCGGAGTGTTTCATCAAAATGACAACACGATTCATCCCTGAAATGTCTTTTTGGAAGTAGTGCTATAAAGCACGGAAATATTGCTGCCTGAACCATAACTTGTCCAGGAAGAGTGACTTTGTGAAAAATTGATTTGCAGTGTACACCATTTCGCAACACCATCACCCCCTTGAGACAGATGATAACGGGTACGACTAAAACAGTCCGGTGAATATTTGATGCAATATTTTACCTCAATTTTCGGTGCCTCATGACGCTCACAATGACAAGGAGATTCCCAAAAATTGCTGCGAGGATGATTAGGCATATAATAAAGGATTTTATGAGGAATAAGAGTGGTGTCCGCGATGGTATGTGAATGGGTACGGTGGTATCGATGAAACCATTATTGTTGAAGGCCATGAATGGCTCAATGTCCACGGGTAGGGTGAAATTATTCATACCCGATTGAAGTTGAAAGAGTAGAGAAGACACAGACGATGATAAGAATAGTGATTGCATAGATTGATTGTCGTGAGTTTCCATAGTATACATATAATTAGTAAGTGTACATTTAGAAAGGTTTCTAAGAGAAGCGATTAAATTCCTTCACAATTGCGATTATGATTGTGTTGTGATATTCCTCTTTGCCTCGCTTCACGGCTCAGTCCAGAGGAGTGTATATATGTTCACATTAAAATTACATTTTTCCACCATCATCAATTTTTTTCCTTCACTAGTTCCACTCCATCTAATTTCTATCATGTTTATCCATGGTCTTTTTTCTCGGCCGCTTCCACACGAACTTCTTCAAAAGGATTCCCACTCTGGCGCAGTATCTCGAGATGAAATCGGGAGATTCTTCATTCCTTCTATATGATTTATTTACTTATATTTTTTTTCTCTCTCCTCCACTCTCCCCACTCGGGAGTTAACACAAATAGCCTATGTAATCTTGAGCGTCAAGACGAGCATGTTTGAGGAGCTCCTACTTCACTCAACAATAAACATATAGTTTGGTGAATTCATTTAGCAAACGTGGGGATGGCAGAAAAAACGACTCACATGTGAGAGCAAATATCTTATCACTTTGATTGCTAGTTGCATGGAGTTGTCAGTCCACCAGAGAAAGCTCGACGGTGTGGGAGCTTCTTTGAGATGTTCAACAGCACGGGAGCAAGTTTTGTGATGTGGATTTGCACGGTAAATTGCTCATCACCTTTACGAGTGTAAATTCATGCCTGGAGAGTTACAACAAGTCTTGTGCTGTGGAAAATTCTTGGATCTTGATATCGCTTTTTGGATATATAGATTGCGATGTGACTTCATTAAGGATGAAGTGCCTCTCCTTGCTCTTCACTCCAGTTCACTTGTTCTCTGTTATTTCTCTTACTCTCCTTCACTCAGGTGTATCACACTGTATATACTTATTTATATCTATACATGGATCCTTCTCATTCATATGTACATACATACATGTATATTGTTGGTAAATATAAATATCAATATATGGTTCACGGTCTCCCTTCACCCGACATGGAATTTAGCTTTAGAGGCTTTCTTTACACTCTCCACCTTCCGTTCTGGTCTCTCCTCAATAATTTTCTATCTGATGTGCTCTCACGTCTTACAAGAAGAATTGATTGGGGCTTATCGCGTGAAGAATGAATATACATTCGGTGCCACAATGTAAATGTAGTGGAAAGTAATAATAAATGCTTTTGCTCTCCTTCTGCTTCCACTCAACTCCTTTCCACCGCGCTCTCAGCCTGTTTTCCTCCCACACGTTTATGTATAGATTGGCGATAAGTGTAGCAAAAATACTCCAATTCGTAGTTTTACAAATGATTAGAGGCACTCATGGGATAGAATGAAATTCGAGAAATGTCTGATAGAATTATGATGATTGCATATGTATCATAAAGCGTGTAGTATTTGAGTCAATTGACGAGGGGGTGGTAAATGCGTTGAATACAAATGGTATATTCATGGAAAATGCGCTCCACCGAAAATTTATCGCAAATTTATCGCTCGGCAAACTATCGCTTTGACTCCCCCTTATTTTCACATGTAAAACACACACAGAATGTTCACAATAAATTCTCACAGTGTCAATCGACAATCACTATATATATACCCGATATATCAATATTATTAATATTCACTGAGATATCCTCTGTATAGTCCACCCCCACGCGCTATTCTCACTCTATAATTCACAGGGAAATTCCGCCGTTGAGAATGGCTTTCCCCGTTGACTTCTTTTCTCACTTATTTGGGAAAAGGCTGTGCTTTGTGATAGCCAGACAGCACGCGAGGAGTACACAGAAAGCGCTTCTTTGAGAATGGACTCGGGGGCACATACACTGAAGAGAGCCACAGAGAGACCAAGCGGGTGCTGGTACATTGAGATATACGTGTTAACTAAAGGAGGGCGACCAGAGAACTGCGGCTGCTGGCTGAAGCTACCCCAAAATTTAGGTCGACGAGAGGAGCATTCTCCACAGCGCCAACACAGAAAAGTCTACAAGGGAACTTTTGCCGAGCTTTCGGGCCAGTTGGCGTGAGTGCGACAAGAACAGGTGAGACGAAACAATGTAACCCCACGGATTATTCATCGGCGAGCTTCGGCGGAAAATTTCTTCACTGTTTATGGATATAGTAACCATGTGTATGGCAAAGTATCCTAGAATCGAATGTCCGCCCGCACCGCCGCCCGCCCCAACTGTGACCATCAGCCTTCCGATTCCTTCGCCTCCGTGCCAGCGAGGGTAAATAACATAAAAAGGCCTATATGAGCTCCTTTTCTGCGCCCTCCTCGAGCAAAATACCCCTTCAGATTGTAATTTATTTTGACATAAAAATAAGCATGTGTTTTACATAAAAAAAATAGGCAAGGATAATCAAATTTATCCGCCATGATGTGAGGAGATTAAGACATTTTCGCCAAATTCTTCCTTTGATGGGGGAATAAACAATTCGTTGAATTTGTCATGATATTCGCCACCCAGAGTGATGGAAGGGGATGTGCTCGAAAATATTAAAATGCTCAAGCTACCCAGAGAAGCCGAAGATGCTCAAGAAGTGTCCATATTGAAAAAGAACAAAGCCGTGGAGAAATACGCAGCAGATGTTCAGAAATACATATCTATATCTCGCATTCTATTTATTTCTCTAAAAGCTTTACAGGACAAAAAAACCACATTGCAATATTGGGCATGAAATCTGGTGTTTTCTGCATTTGTGTTAAAAAGAGGTATAAAATATGCAGATTTGATTAGAGTATTGAATCGGGCTATTTCCAGCACTTTCACTTTTTTTCGAGACATATAATATAAAAGCTGGCTCTATTTACATATTTTTCCATCCACACTGTGTTCCAATTTGGGATCATCTGGGAGAAAAGTGTCAAAAAAGTCATTTATCATTTATAGCTATAAGCTAAGGTTTTGCATTTTATGGTCTTTAAAATTTTAGCACCTTAAAGTGAAGCGTTTTTTCATTTTCACCAATACCTGTACTTCACAATCTCACTTAGTGCCGTTTTATGCGTTGAGTTTAATCAAGTGGCAGCATGTTTGTGCTGAGTTTTTTTCATTCGAAGTGCTTTTTGTCTATACTAGAAGAACATCGATTGTGAAATGAACTCAAAAGTATTCATGTTGAACAAGAAAAGAGACAAAAGAGATAAGAAGGCAAGTAATTTACTTGTATGTTCGTAAATTTAATTTTCTTTCAAGTGAATGGTGTGTGATTTTTTTCCTGTATAATAACAGAAATATCCGTTTGTAAAAAGTTTTTATGTGCGGAAAAAACCAGAGCAAAGCGAAAATTGGTAAGTTGTCATCGGTGTGTTGGATAAAAAATGTGCTTCTCCACAAGCGAACTCTGTGCATTCATTCGTGAAAACTAATTTTCACCTCAATTTTGCAATTTTCTGTCCTGTGTATCTGTTAATCTCACTTTGGAATACCTTTCAATGGTGAGGATAAAGAGGGTTGTGTGATTTTTCACACGAAATACCCCCAGGCGTGTCTGCTGTGCACGGTTTAGTTTCAGTATGTGATCGCAATAACGAGTAAAAGTGCCCTGTATACTCGTTAATTGGCGGTCACAAATTGAAACTACCGCAAATGAGTCTCCATTTGGCTCTCTTGCACTCTAAGAACTGTGTGAACTCTGTGACTGATCGTCTCTGATGGGATGCTGACTGAGAACTGAGACCAAGTGGAGCACCTTGAGCCACAATTGGAGATCAAATGGGAATTTTGGGGGGATTAAGAAAATATGGTAAATTGTGTACTTTCGCTACACTTTCAAAAACTCCCACGGAAAGATGTGCCGTGGAAGAATTTTCAGTGAGTCTCTTCAACACCTGAGGCCTGACAGTGTATAGCGCGTGAATAGTTAAAAGGTGGATGCAGGGTGAGGAATTTTTATAATTGTGAAACAACAAACAGACACTCCAAATATTGTAACATGTGCGCCACAGTTTTTGGTGTCGATTGTGGGCAAATAGCACGTCACAGATGGGAGGATGTCTTTTGTGGCTGAGCCGAAAACCATAAGAGGTTTTTTTTCCTCATCTACCCAAGAACGTGGCAGCGAAACGTGGATTGGGGTAAATGATGTGGATTGAGGGATTTTCTCGTCATGAAAAAAGTCTCCAAAATTCATGGGAGACTTTTCCTAAAAGCATTGAAAGCTTTCACTTTTGCGCGCTCATTTCCGTGTGCCGACATGAATACGCCACATAAACTTCAGGGTGGAAGCTCGCGTGTGGTCTCTGTCGCTCGTGGGGAAGGCTCTCCATCCCTGTCTCGCCACCGGGACTACCCGGAAAATTCTCAGAAGCTCCCGTCGACGAGGCTTCGTGAGAAAATATTTGTGTCGTGCCAAATCAGTTTGCAAATGAGCGCTGGCCAGAACGAACATCCCGATCTCGAGTCTCTCACTCTCATGGTTTTCCTGTGGACAGTCTCTGTGTGAAAAGTGCAGAGATTTGGCTGGAAAGATGTTGCTGGCGGTGTGGTAGGGAGGAAAAGGTGGAAAAGGAAGTGAAAAATGGACAGTGAGTGTGCTTAGTAGAGGTTTGTGTGTCATTCCGGCTCACCCATGGAGCCCTGCAGACGACTAGGGGGAGTGAGATTTGGCCAAAGTGTGAAAAATGAAGTAGAGGAAAAGTTGTGATTTACTCTGGTTTGGCCCATGAAGGGTTATGGTGTGTGCATATGGCAGTGAGAATTGCAATTTCACATGATACCCCAAGTAAGTAAGAGCGGCGAGATTGCGAGACTCCGAGGGAGATTTATGCGGATTACTCCTGGTCGATTTCAAGTGAAATTTCACCCCCCGACAGACGGAAAAATCAACATACCTTAGCCCATACCCAGTGTGGGAATTCTCTTCAAATTGCTGCTTTGCCTGCCTCCTCAATTTTTCTACTCCATTTAATTTGGTACAATTCTCTCGGTTTAAGTTCACGCTGCATCACACCCTCAAGTGGAGTGAATTATTCACCAAGAGGCCTCTCTATGCTATGTGAGGACTCTGGCTTAGAGGAGTCGATAAACAAGCCGAAAATGTGAATGGAAGTTGCGTCAGGAGTGTTGCAGTTCTCACTATATTCCAGGTAAATGGCCCACGGCGCAGAGACTTGAAAGAAAATCCCGTCTCCCTCCCATCGTCGTAGGCTCTCTCCCTCGGCCGAAATGAAATTTATTTTCGGATGTTAATATTGATTTTAAAAGATTTCGTTCATGTTTCGTCACACATTGTATTAAAATACCGCGCCGGGACTGGAGGGGTGGATCCGATGAAGTGAGACTGAGTGAGTGTGATCCGTTGTATGAATTGATGTGTAGACTCTTCGGGGCTTGATGAATAGCATTCAGGCACTCTTACAATATCATCCACCCCCGTATAGATCAGATAAGCTCATCTCTGATGGACAAGAGGTGCTTCTGCCACGAAAAATACTTCACGATGGATTTGGAATGCGGAACGCTTCCGAGAATTGGGATTCATTCGATGGTCAACTCGATAGGCCGATTGTCGGAGAGAAATTAAAGTGTTTGATTAGCATTGGAGAACACTAAATTACTGACTGCTACTGATAAAAAATAGGGAGACATTTTTGAGATAGGAAGTTATAAGAAAATGAAGAAAAATTGTAGGTTATAACTTATCTACCATCGTCTCAATGATTATTGTGGAATTATTCTGCGTCGTTTAGCAATGTCCGGAGGATATATCTACGTTTTTCAAATGATAAATCAGTCTGGGAATTAGTCAGTTCCCAAATAAATTGCAGTAGCTGTGACTGCTTGAAAAGCTCGAAAGATAATTCGTAAGCACACATCGAAATCTCCCAATCATTTTCCACTTTGGTACACACCTTTTCACCTATTTTACTACAGCCACCGCTATAGAGATGTGCCACAGACACGCGTAAAAAGCCTCCCTTGCAAAGTCACTTAATTATTCTTCGATTTTCAATCGCGTTCTAATCTTTGGCCATGATAAGGCAATATTCCCGCGCAAAATCTCCGATGCTCAGGTAAATCCATTCCAGCCCGATTTCCCCACGGATAAAAACTAACCCGATGATAAATTATACGCCCCCAGAAACACAGTTCTCGCACCGCAATAGGCAGCAAAACATGGGAAATATTTAAAGCTGTTCGATGTTGATAGAAAATTTCTTATGTGCTTTAATTGATTTCTTCCACTCGTATATAATGCTGGTGGTGCAGATTTTCCGTTTCCCAGCACGATCACAAGTTCAAGAAGGATTTATGGTCTCTCCGTCGAGGAATACACATCAATAAAAACACATTTCGTCCGACAAGGGCACACTCTCAACACGAAAAAAAACACCCAACTTGGCACTGTTATTGAGGAAATATACAAAGAAAATATTTTTCCCTAATATATGTTTTCTTTCGATTTAAATCTATTGCAGATTTATTGTAGGGCTACTCATAACACATAGTTTTTCGATATTTGCGTGTGAAGAGAACACATGTGGAAGAAAATTTCGTATGCATGGAGAAATCTGAAATGATGGTAGAAAATTTTTGAATAAAAATTAGCTCTGATATATTACCAAATAAATGTGCGAAATCAAATTTATTTGTTCAGATTACCATCGAAATCTCTCCTTAAAGCATCAGAAAAATTAAAAATTAACTATACGTGTATTATTTCCTCAGTATATTAATAAAATCGTTTGCTTTAATTACGCAAATTGGCAAATTACATCAATCACATCGAATGAATCATTGATTCTGTTGACTCCAATCCTCAATGTAGCATATATAAATAGATTAAATCACAGATGCTTTCCTGTGTATTTGCATATCGATGATGAAAAAGCCAAATCACACCTTCTTCTTGATGTTGAACCGTCGGATTTAGTATATAAAGAAAAAACCACGATTGAACATAAATTAAATGATATCCTAATGAAATTAGAAATTGAATATTCTCTCTGTGAAATATTTTCTTTCAGCGAATAACCTTTATTTCCTCCACGAGTACTGTCGACAGTGATTTGCTGTGGAAGTTGCAACGAGCGGCAAAGCTTCGTGAATTGCTTAAGTTTAATGAGTTTTCAGATATTTTCTTTGATCAAAATGTGGCTAAAACTTTGAGAGTGATTGAATGTGTACAGCCTTTAAAATTTAATTGGGCCACTGCCGCAGATTTAATATGTATCAGGCAAAACACAATTTCATGCAAAGAGTGTGCATAATTACACGATTTTTGAACTTTCACTCACAAACATGTCAAGTTAGGGGAGCGCCTTGGTATGCTCGCGTTATAGGTGAAGGGAGTGAAAATTGCAGAACACAGGCGTTGAAGCAGTGTGTGAAGGATGTGTTTTCGGGGTGAAATGGTTTCTCGAAATCGTCATTGACAAACATTGGCGAGGATGTTATGAACTGCCGAATGGAACTCGAGGCGATAGTATCAAGATGTTTTCAAGTTGAGGAGCCCGCCTTATTTTTGCGAAATGAAATAAGTTCGGATGAAAGAGCACGCGAATGTGGGAATCCACAAAATGAGAAAATCAGCAACTTCCGTCTATTTTCGCATAAAAAGAAGTTACTTTGGACTTTTTTTCATCCCACTAAACTTGCCGTTTACGGGCCTCTCTATACCGCCCACCGTGGGCATATTTAATGCGTGCGCAAACCTCCTCCCAATTGATAGCATTTCCTTGATTGTGCCTCCCATACACAGAGTTCACTCGCTTCTTCCGCATTCTTTGTAATTTCACCGTGTTTGGTAGACTTTTTTGCCTCCACAACACCCTCGAGGAATCTCTCCTTGAAAGCGGCGCCAATGGTATTGTGTCGCTATTGCCATTGAAATTCAACTTCCCCCCGTTCAACTTTCCTCGCCGCCACCCACAAGCACAAGTTTTGCGTTTGAGCCCGCACTACATACGTACATGTACTTGCAATATTATTCACATTGTTCACAATTTCTCAAATTGATACTTTCCCTCTTCCACCCGCCCGAATCACCGCCAACCAGCCCGGCATTCAAATACGTGCGCCTGAAGGGAAGAATACCAGCAGTACGGGAGAGGCGAATTCAATGAGCATTTCAAGCCTCACGGGTCACAATATGAAAGTTTTCATGAAAGAGCCTGGCGTAAATAAATTACAGGCCATCAACGCTGGTGTCATCTAAAATTGTATCGTTCGTCAAAGAGGTGCGCTAGAAATGTAAAGTCAGTGGTTACACAGCACATTGGAATCATATCACTTCACGCTGCTTCCAAGGCTGCTTCTCCCCTAAACGTTGGAAAAGTTGGGTATTTCGCTCTCGTGGAAAAAAGGGATTCTCATGAAAAGAAATCACATGTAGAAAAGAGCAAAGGTGAGAAGAAAAGAGCTTAGAAATGTTCAATAATTTTTGGGTGAGTAGCACAATATTAAAAATAACACAATCAGAATTATTTAGGAGTGCTTCGGCGGTGTCTGAACTCTTTTGTGAACATGAATTGGAAGATTGTGTGAGTTGGGTGTGTGCTGTGCCTTTACATAATAATATCCTCATGTAGTTTTCACGGAAAATGTGTAAGATTCTGATTGTCCTTCGACACGCAATCGCCCATTGTACAAAATGTATTAAGAACGAGCAGGAGAACAAACTGACGGAGATTCTCGTGAAATATTTAGAGTCCACTAAGCAAATTCAATTCGCTAATGTGACCCACGCACTGCGCCTAATTAGCTGGGGAGGAAAATACAATAAAGCGAATTGAAAGTTCATAATTCTCGCAGCATTCGAAAAACGGATGTGCTAATGATTTATGTGAATCTGCGTGAATACGATGGGGAATTTACCACTTGATGGATTGCGGGGTTGATAAATATTCCGGATAATTAAAAAACCGATGGATTATAACAATACCCTCTTCGTGAGGCGCCCCAAAGTGAATTGGAGCAATAAAATAAACATTTCCTAATGACTCCGCGGGCGAAAAGGACTTCCATCACAGCAAATTAAGACAAAGCAGCGGGGTTTTTGCAGCTTTGAGGCCTGGGACAGGGGAAAAAAAGGAATTCTTTGCAGAGACTACAATGTTTGCACTTGAGATATGAAGATTGATTTTGCACAAGGGATCAGAATTTCACAAGTTACGATACAAAATGCTGATTTTCCCCATTTGCCTGTGAATTCTGCCAAACAATCAATTTTGCAGCATATTCAATTTTTGCCGGGAGGAGGATTCCAATTTAGACGAGGCAGGCAAGTCTTTCTTGCCTTATATAGACCCATTTTCTCAACAATATGAAGAGACTTTTATGATATTAGGCTCATTGGAGAGATTTTGTGAAATGCTATTGAGCATGAGATATTCAAAAAGACAAACTGTGAGGGGTGGAAAGAGCGTAAATCTTGATTCTTTTTTCCGTCTTCGCAGCAACAACATTTCGTCCTCGAGAGACCTTCAGTTCCAGTGAAAACTTTCTCTTTCTTACCATTACTCAATCTCCACGAGTTTCCTCTCTCTTTCTGTGTGTTTTTATATTTGCCCGAGATATGAACTAACGAGTGGATTTTTAAACTTTTCTGCCGAGATTATGATTCATAATGTTTAATATGGGATGTTAGGAAAACTTGAGAATTATCCGAATAAATCTCGTCCCGCATACACTCAGACAAACTATTCATTGACGAAGTTTCTCCGCAAATGCTTTCGAGCTTAATAAGAAAATATTATCTAATCGGGTGCTCGACTAAGTAAATGGATAATTTACCTTCGGCAGGGAAAAGTTGTTAGAGAGCAAATCTCCCGGATTTGGCATAAATCTAATCGAATTTCCTCAAAGCGTGTGCGGTTTTAGTTTGGGCGTAAAGCTTTATACGAAAACTTTCTCATCATGCATTCATAGGCAAGTTTTTCTCCCTCGCACACCCATCGCTGCTCTTTCACTTGCTATAATTAATATTTATTACAATAAACTCCAGTTGTTTTATTAATCCACCCCATTTGCATTGTTTATAGTTAATTAATATTCAGCCGTTTGTGAATAGTTAAATATTGGTACTCCATTCCTGCGACTGTTGACCATGTCATTCACTCCATTTTCACGGTAATTTCCAATCTGCAAGTGGCCTACATTCAATTAGGCACCGTGCTCACGATGTGAATACTGAGAATTAACAATAAAATCGTATTCCTCACTTCAATCCAATCTGGGCATCAGGTCGAGACTCATGGCGGAAGTCAATGCAACTGCTCCCACGCGCGGTGTAAGCCCTCTTCAAATTCCATAATCTGGCAAATGTTTGAATTTGCTCAATATTTGCTTAAATTAAGTCGCATACATACATATATAATATCATTCGGGGAAAATTCTCTATATGCCGCTACAGAGCTCATCAAAAACGGGAGTTACAGGCAATCAATAATTCCATGTAATTCAATGAGATAGGAAATTTGCACAGAGGCCAATTTAAATACAGAAAAATGTTAATAAGTAATTGATTTCTTTGTTTGTTTATCTACGCGAAAGCCTTTTAAATGAAATTGTAGACAATTCCTTCATATTTTCATAGTATAACTATTAGTTTGGTATACAATTATTCATAAGATTGAAACCAAATAACGACGTATATTCTGAAAAGCTATGTGTAGATTTTGGTATTTCTCGCTCGAAAAGGAAGCACATATTTTTCTGAATGTATTTTCCTTTTTATTCGAGCAAACGTTTTCTCCTCGTACGCAACCCACTTTATATTACATCTTTACGCAGGAGTTTTCTGTAAAATACATCATTTCACGTGAATTTCCATATTTTAAAGACAGAGTTGTTTGCCCAAAAGAGCATTCCGGAGTGGCCTTTAAAGTTCAGTCACACATTGCTACCTGGGTTACAGGCAGTGTTGTATGTGTATACAAATTGTTTGCATTTGTATGGATGGAGTTTGTAAAGGAGCGAAACACCACCGATATTTTTAATTAATTTTTTGCTAGTTGAGAAAATGTGTGCACAAAAGTATCACGTTTCCCAGGTGGAAAATACCATCCAGATTGAACCAGATCCCACCCGCTGGCCACTCGTCCTTTCGGAAGTATTTAATATTTTCTTTAATTAAAAGTATGTCTATGAGCTTATTTAAAAGTTTTGTCAGCATGCATTCACTTCCCCATTCATTAGATCGAAAGTTGCCCCATCTTGGATGAGTTTCGCTCAAACTCAACAATTATTTTTCAAACTTTTTAGCCACTTTGCGCAATTTTTATTGGCGAATGCCACCCACTCACGCCACCCTTCTACTCAGTTACCTTCATTGTGATTTCACCATGAATTTTCTCGTTCCGGGGCATTTTCACAGTGGAAATTAAAACGATACAATGTTTCGCTTTAACTTGACCGTTGGTGACATAATGGAAATTTATGGTTCAACAGATTTCATCAAATATTTGGGTCGATTTTACAGGTATTTCCTGAATTTTCATAAACACTTGCAGTGGTTTCGAGTCTAAAAGCATCTCCAGTCTCACAAAATAACTAATAGAATTATAGAGTGTTCAAAGGCTGCTCCGCCTGGTTTTACAACTCCCGCAATGATTTTTTTTTACTACGTCAAGCAAATTCGCTTGAAGGATCGCTTATGTTGGTGTAAACAATGTTTTCCGGTACTTGAGGGATTTCTTTTTGCAAAAATTGTGTTTCGAGAAAATGGAACATAATTAATGAGAGTCATATATCATTCTTGCCATTCATCGCTCTCAGGACAATGGGGCCAAATATTATGCTTACATTCATAAGTTCTTCTTTTCTCTCTCTCTCTACTCCAAAATGTAGATATGATAAAGGAGATGTCGCTTGTGACTACTGATGTTCCTCAGCAGCATGACAATTTCACAATACAATCGTCAGACACACGATTTATCGGCCCTAATTCTTCAACGTCCATCATCGAGCGAATTACCACCGCCGATGAAGACAACAGCAAATTATTCATAATAGTTCTTTGTATTAAGGGTTTTATATTTGGAACGGTGAGTCTCTAAGCATATTGTTATAAATCGTTCTATTTGTTCCTTTCATTTCCTCCACCATCGATAATTCCCCATATGTGTGTGTGTGGGGGCGAAGGGGGCGGAAGAAAAAGAATAAATAAGTAGGGAATTACTGGTTGGGTAGAAAAGTGGCTAATTGTCTGTCGAATGTGTGGTGTGCCTGCGAATAAATGGAGGCCTGCCTTTCATATGGCGAAATAGCATTTAAATAATTAATTAGCGATTTATTAACGCTTTACCTCTCCCCTGTCGTCTCTGTATTTTTCCAGATTATTCTCGGAGCTGTTCTTGGCAATGCGCTCGTAATAATTTCCGTTCGGAGAAACCGGAAATTGAGGTGATTTACCACCCCTTTTAAGCTGTCTGGGGCGATTAGACCCCCTGAGAACTAGAAATTTACGTTAAGAATTCATCCAATCATATCGATCTCTACAATGTTTACGCGCTTGTCAGCTCAATCAATACAGCGTTAACCTCGTACTTTTCAGGGTTATCACAAATTACTTCGTAGTCTCACTGGCGATGGCCGACATGCTGGTAGCCCTCTGTGCAATGACGTTCAATGCATCGGTGGAATTGTGGGGACGATGGCTTTTCGGTGCCTTCATGTGTAACGTGTGGAATAGTTTAGACGTTTACTTCTCCACAGCGAGTATCCTCCATCTGTGTTGTATTTCCGTTGATCGGTAATTGAAGTCAATACACTCCATTTGGCCTTTTGCCCTCTTTTACTCTGCCATCGAGGCCCCCCGCTGAGGGTCTCAGTTGCACGTTTTTATTCAATTTCCATCGTATTTCCTTCTTCTCTCCCAACAGGTATTATGCAATAGTTCGTCCTCTCGAGTATCCGCTGTATATGACTCATCGTACAGTTTTTCTCATGTTAGCAAACGTATGGCTATTGCCTGCTCTCATTTCCTTCACGCCAATCTTTTTGGATTGGTACACCACGGAGGAGCACCTCCGTTTCATGGAGGAACACCCGGACACATGTATTTTCATCGTAAACAAGACGTACGCAATAATTTCGAGTAGTGTCAGTTTTTGGATACCGGGAGTTGTTATGATCACCATGTATTGCAGAATTTACAGGTATGCAGCAGCCAACTCCAATATCCGCTGTATTTGCTATTCATTCGCATATCGCGCCCCAAGGGCGATTAACCCATCCAAAAAACCACTCTCGGATGCCAATTGGTGCAAATCGGTTGGGAAAAACACACAATTTTAATTAAGTGTATCAATTGAAGTTGTTTCTGTCAACAAATGAAAACAATTTACCGACTGCAATAGCAGAAAAAACCTCTTGAAACATAAATTTTGAGGCTTTGAGCACAAACTTTCAAGTAAGATCTGTCGATTAAAATTCTTGTGAATGTCCTCTTTGTCTTTGGTTTCTGATGGTGAAACACACCTAATTATCTCATCAAAACTTTCCTCTTTGATGGCAATTTACGGCATGGAACTAATTATTTCGTACAAAGAAAATTTGCACTAATTTGTCACAACTAAAGAAAATTCCTCCCATGTGAGGTGTTGTACAAATTTGGATAGGAATCCTCTGCTATAATAGTCTCGCAATATTATCACACCTTGAAGACTCCCCTTAATTTGTACAGCGGAGGATTTGCAAAGTTTCTGCGTAAATTACAGTTCGGGGAAATTAAAATGCCTCAGAGCACACTGTTTTTCCTTCTCCTCAAAGTCACAAAGGGTATTTGAGGCGAAAAGAAATACACGCGCAGCAAATATTTTATGAAATATATGATTAAATATTCTGTGAATTAATTTGGGGGATAATAAGCAAAATGAAAGAAAATAACTCATTTGTTGGAGGTTTTCTTAAGAAAACATCCATATATAATGTGCTTTTAATGTGTTTTTAAGTAAATCGGGAAAACATTCCCACGCCAATTCTATTCAGTATTGATGGAATTTGATATGCGTACTGAGTGATGTTTTAATCATAGAGTGCTTCACCGACATTGATGAAATTGTAACGCAACTTTTCATATGATCCACAGAGAAGCTGTTCGTCAGCGAAAAGCCCTAAGTCGGACCAGCTCGAATATTCTGCTGAATAGTGTTCATTTGGCCCACACTCAGCACAACATGCATCACACTCATCATATGAATTATCTGCATCCCAGTGACTGTGATCTCAACTTGACTCTGAAGCAGCTACGACGTGATAGTCACAGTTCCGTCAGTAACGTCGAGGTAAGTTGCTCATTTGTCCGCATTTCATCATAGCCGACACATAATTTCGCCTCATTGCAGATACAAGTGTTCCCTTCGACTGAGAATGATGACGAATTGAGGGTGCCGTCGCCGATTCCACCTCGACGCTTGAGCAGGAGCAGTATTGACTTGCGTGACTTGGAGCTGCAGCACGAGAAGATGTCCCACACAGACTCGGCGCCCTCAATTGTGGGCATTGACAAGTATCTCAAGAGCTCAGATAGCGAGCCACTGAGGATAAAGTCGCAACAGCAGCAGCACCAGAAGCTCAACAACTTCCTGCAGCCGTTCTTCTCCAAGACCAATCTCATTCGACAGCCATTCGAGTACCTCCACTCAAGCCTGAATGGCAAGAGTCGCAAGAATACGCCATCATTGATGACAGACGATGCATCGAAGGCCTCCTTCGACAACATCGACGATGCATCCCTCGACAAAGGCTCCAAGGACAACTTCAAATATACCAAAGTGCCATTTGGAGCGCTCAGTGATTCTGACTTCTTGGCATTGAAGCACAAACCCGACGCCAATGTCAGTTCCACCCTTTCGGATTCAGAATTTCTCATATCGTGCAGCCCTAATGGTGGCAACAAGGTGAAGAAAACCAGTGTGAAGAGCGAGATGGCCATTACCATCAAGACGGACGTGATTAAAAATCTTATCGGACGCGGGAAGAAGTCTAGTCTGTCGTCGCAACAGCGAATGCGAGTATTCAGCGATGGGAACTTCGAGGATACTTCCACTCAGAAACGGGCCAACACCAAGCAATCCCGACCGAGAGTTCTTAGCGAGGGTAATGAGGCACGAAGTGACACGGCTTTTGCCACAGAAAGGCAATCAGACACCCCTGACATCCTTATAGGTGAGAACAATAGCTAAAACATCTGGGAAGCATTATTAGAATGATTAGAAACGAATTCCTGGCACACTTTCTTATGATAAACTCTGAGATGTGGCAAGATTTAATTTTATTATGGGTTGAATAAGTTAACCAAGTATCATCTTTTTAAAACCATGAGCAATTAAGGTAATTTTTGAGATAAATATCAATTTGAGACCAGATAATTCTCTTTGGTAAAAACACATTTTCTACTACCATTAGTGGCATTTCACCCCATGTTTGAGTTACTGTATCAATTAGAGTTGTGAAACTTCATTATGGGCATTTTATTTATACACATCCTCCCCGGAGCAACTTCAACACAATGCATTTATTAGTTTTACAAGTCAAAGAGAAGCAGTGTCGGATGAAAAGAGTGGCTTTTTATTAATTATTTATGTTGATGGGGTTTGGTTGAGGATACCCTATTAAAACAATATAAACCAAGTGTAATGGGAAAAAGTCAAGAAATCTCTTCTATTTTATTTGAATTTCATTACTGAAAAACTCACGAGTTTCTATTCTCTTGCTTTGTATGCAGGACTCCTCAATTTTGGTGACAATGAAGAGCGACAGTTTAGCATAGACTCCTGTGGTGATGGTGACGGGCAATTTGCTGAGAGCATATCCACAGAAGCTCCCAAAGTCGCTCCCAACAATGTAAATATCAGTATGATTGATTTTATGAATTCTTCCACGAATGCCATGCAGAAGCATGACGAGAGCACTCCGAGGAGCACAGATGTGGTCCTGATCAGTGACATGGTGTCGCCTAATAAGTTTCTGCTGATGGACCTCAATGAGGAGGAGCACAAGATATCCAGCGGCGGCATTCTCGAGCCGATTAGACAATCCCTCCAGCCGGACGACCTTCCTGACGCCACAGTCGCATTCACGCCCATCACCTTCGACGCGCCACATCTCAGCAACGCTTCCACGCTCTCCCTGGACATCGTCACGGGCAACGCGGCCCATCCGGCGATCCTCGGCGCCAAGCCGGAGATCATAATGGACTCCACACTGAACGCCACGAGTCCCACGAAAGCCACATCACCAGATGATGAGGATGGTCAGTTTCGGCGAGAGTCCATGGATGAGTCGAGTGGTATGAAATTAAAATCACCAAGTGCTTTATTGAGACGAGATGAAACAGGAGCACGACTCAGGCGACCATCAGCTGTTACATATGACGTGAATGTAATAAATTTCTGTCAGGAGAATAACGAGGGAAACGATGGCACAGCGGCGCGTCGATCAACCAGTTCCGCAAGTATGTTGAGCATCTCTTTCTCTACTCCCCCCACCACCCACCTATCCTCAAACATAATTTCATCCTCACAGATAAATTAATTCTATCAATTTCACTAACTTCACACACACTTCAGTGTTTAGATGATTGCTGAGGAATCGAGAATGTGTGTCCATAAGCAGTGTTGTTGAATTACCCCTAAAACATTATACAATTTTCCCACTTCTAACAAAAGACTGGAAATCTAATTTTCTCTAAATATTCAACTTGTAGCTTAGCATTGCACTGTATTGAAAAACCATTGATATATTTTATCTCTGATTTTGACACATACAATTCAAACTTTTCTAAATTTCCTCCGCTTGGACAGCTTTAGTAGTTTCTGATTGTGTGGCATGATTTGTGCTGTGATATTTTACATCATCCAGAAAAGTGTTGATTACTCTTATTTTGAACTCAAAATATGAATACAAGTGCATAGCAATACATCAAGTCCTTATTGATGAGCTCGACGTCGCCAAGTGGTTAAAATTGCGTCAATCAAATATTGGCGATTCAATCGATTCGATATGCCAATCGAACGAAACGGGAAGACGATTCGCGCGCGTAACGTAATTTGCCAACACTGCTCATGTGAGTGAGAGAAAGAAAACGAGGTAACACCGTCAAACCCACAGTCACACATACTTCACAGACAAGACAGCGTTTAGAGAGGTGAATTCTCTGCGGTTGGGCAGAAAGGGGGAGGCAAAAGAAAACACGGGGGAATTGTAAATTTGATCAGGCATTAGGAAAAATGTGCGAAAGGAAGGTTGTTTAGCTTTAAGCTTTTAATATTTATTTATTCTTTGTATTTTTCCCCCCATATTGTTTTGATGCTATTTATTTTGACTTGGCTCTCTCTTCAACTGTGCGAATATTTTCCAAGGATTATTGGTTCTATTCACAGTGCCATCTCCAAGTAATAGTGTAGGCTCCAAATTGACTTGAGAGACTTTGCGAGCCTTCTGCATTGTCTAAGAAAATGAGTGATTATGTTCCGCGTGCGTAAGAAGTAGAAGACAAGAATACAGATGGAAATTTTCTCGGAAATATGTACACGAGAATCGAGGGGGAAATATCTTGAGGAGACGTTTCAACCCCGTCCACTCCTCCCCAGACAGTCACTGAATATTCATAGAATGAAGACAGTCAGGATGTCTCTTTCCTATCTTTGCTCAGGCTAAATTCTGGGAAATTCTTTCGGGGTCAGCGAGGACGCTAGGTGACAAGCTCATGTTCACACAGCAAACCAGCTCTAACAATGAAAATATCGTCATTGGCGGGAATTAATTAATTCATGAGGGAGAAATTTTAACTAAATTTTATTTTCACAAAAGTACCTGTACGGAAACTTTGTACGTGAAAATCAATTAAATTTGCTCCACATACTTTCACATGATTCATGCCACACCAGACCAAATTAATTTAATTTAGAGTTTTTATTCCGTGTAATGAAAATTATTAAAATTTTTCCAACTCAATTGTTTAAATGTGAATACGTGATTAATTACAATATTCGCATGAAATCCATATACAGTCTCAGTTGGATGATACATTCTGTGGTGTATACGAGGCAGTGATTGTATTTCTTTATGAATGAATATTGGAGCTTTGGATAAGATGTTTTAGGGTTTTTAGACAGAGTATGGAAAAGTCATGTGCGATTTCATACATAATGTTTCTTACACAAAACACGCAGATCAAGCTCTTGCGGATAAATTCTCAAGTATTTCCAAATGAATTTCACAATTTGCACAAGTTCATTAAAATTAATTAACATAAACTTAGTTTAAAATTGACCACCCCTATTCACACAACAATATAAAGTGTAATTAATTTTCACGCATAACTCAGGTAACATAAATCGCCAAATAGTAAGGGGAGTGTCAGCACTTCTCAGAATTTATTACGCTCAAGAATAATTATAATGACTATAACAATTCTTCCTATACTACATGACTCAACTGAATTTTACAAATTCTCATGAATCTAGTCTGAATCAAGGTGCTCTACAAATGCTCCGTGTTGCACAAATGAATATGAAGCACAGGAAGTTATATTTAATTTAAAGGCTTCTTCAATTAATATCTTATGTTCTCCCTCAATGTAATTATTCAATAACTCAATTGAGATTCCGTTCTACTTCGCATCTAATGGCTCGGGTGGCTGACCATCACGGGTCTAACAGATGGTGGTGCTCTGTCTGGGTATTTTGAAAAATCCCTTTTCCGGACACAAGAGATATTTCCCCAGGATGTCGGTTCCATGAAGTGGTGCCTTGGGAGGAAGACAGGGCCTCAAGTTGACATAGAAATACATGGGCCCATTTATAACTCTTCAAAAGCTATTTGTAGGAGGTAGTTGCTTTCTACATTCAATTATGGGATTATACATCCGTGTTATGTGCCTGTGTGTGTGCTGAGAGGGGTGAAGAAGAGTAATTCTCACGACATTATATACATGTCCCTCACCTAAATGTCTATTGCCTAGACCATTTGTCTCAAAGAAGAATCGCCTGTACATAAAATAAAGTATGTGTATATCTTGCAATAAATTAGGTCCACAGCACAATACTTATTCCACTCCTTCTGCCACAACTAGCCAGATTAGACGTGGCGGAATTTGTGTCGTAATCGATGATGAATCCGGTTGTTGGGAAGAACAGGATTCCACGGCCATAAAGCGTAAAAGAAAGTTATGGTTTTTTTCCGGACGCGATAACTTATCAAGTCAGGGTGATAGTTTACAAACGACACCTAAAGGTTAGTTGAATTACCTTCTATAGTTCACTATCATTGCAGTAATTAATTATCATGGCATCTTGCTATATTCTACCCTTAGCTTAGATAGCTATATACATATGTATCTATTTTTGGCTTTCTGTTCTATACCTCTTCCTATATATATATTTAGCGTCTTCTTCGCTCCATAGTGCTCTCTATATTCAATTTGAAAAGTAATTTCTCCCAATGCAATACAATTGCCAATAAAAAGAGTCTCTACATATATAGAGTTGCTAGCAAATGCTTGAAACATTTCTGCCTGTGGATCATAACAATCATGTAACTTCCAGCATCGAGCTTTCCGCTTGTAACCAATATAGCATTACGATAAGTATATAAATGCATCAACAAAATCTATTTATTGCTCATATTGGGTTACACATCGCCACCCTAAATTTTTTCGCCGCCCATCCTGGCTTTATCAAATAAATTGAGATGCCAACACAAATAATTGCCATTTGTGGATCAACAACAAAATTAAATTACAGTGGCTCACATTGATACATTACATTAACATTATGGGCAGACAACAACACATCATCAAATAAAAATAAATTGATGACACATCCAACATTTGCCACCGTCTGTCATTCTGCAGTCAAACACGAAGATATGTGCTCCTGAGACAAGATTCATAATGCGTCAGGCTTCGTATAAACTCACAGATTTAATATTGAAACTCAATTTATAGTATATACGATGTTTGAAAGGATTTACTTGATTGCATGGCTTTTAGAATGTTGGTCTGTAATCCTCTGTGTGTTTCTCTTTCTCGCTGAGAGTAAAATAGACAGAAATGTGTGTGATCGCAGGGCAGGTAAAATTAACGAATATTTTTATAATAAATTCCCTCCAGGTGGATCCGTTCGGCAAACAAAGGGTTGGCGTGCTGAGCACAAAGCTGCAAGAACGCTAGGCATCATAATGGGCGTGTTTTTGCTCTGCTGGCTACCATTCTTCCTCTGGTAATTGCTTTCTTTATTTTTACACGAATTTCAGTTTTTTCAGACGCCATTCCCTCTCGTGAAAGTACAAAAGTTGCTGATACCTCATTCGTGGAGACGTAGCCGGTTAATGGAATTATGGCACATCGACCATCGGTTGGTTTTATCTGGCCTTCCTCAGGGAGTGAGGTTAGCACGAGGACGGCGAGAAATAGTTTGAGAGCCATAGTCAGAAATCATTTGTGGGATTTTGAGTGGTTTTTGCATGAAATCCAGCCATCAAGAGTTAAACAACGTCCACGTGGACGTTTTATATCTCTCGGCGACCATCAAAAAATCTCATTTTGTCTATTTTTACCACAGGTACGTTATCACTTCGCTGTGCGGAGAGGAGGCTTGCCCATGTCCAGATATTGTAGTGGCAGTTCTATTTTGGATCGGCTACTTCAACTCCACCCTCAATCCACTAATTTATGCATACTTCAACCGTGACTTCAGGGAAGCCTTCAAGAATACCCTCCAATGTGTGTTCCCTTGCTGGATGAAGAAGAGCCCTTACAGTGCGTACTATGTGTGAACATAGGCACCCAGGCAAACCCCCTTGAGGGATGCTTGGAGGACGTGCGAAAACAAATAAATGACATTTGACGAACACCCCCAAAATCACATCAATATTCCCTCATAAAAAGTTTCCTGTGGTAAATTATGTATAATTGAGGACGCAATACACGCAATAAATTAGTAAGAATTATTATTTGTAATTCTTGTGAATATACATAATATCCGATTGGTATTAGTCGTATGTATGATACGTAGCCATATATATATATATATATATATACTTAACACTGTTAAATGGCAATAAATATCGTAATAAAACTGAACAAATGTCCGAGTCAGATAAACGTTTTGAGTGTATATAATAGTAAGTCAAGATTGTGGTAATATTGCGGTAATTTACACACCAAAACATAAACGTAATATAGGAATAATATGAATTTCCAAAAATCGAATATGCGGAATAACTAAGACAAATTTGTGAAATATTCACCACACGATTGACGATTGGTGTGAGAGAGTGACGTAATAAAAGTGATTCTGATAAGCAAATACATAAACGTAAATGTTTGATGAAAGATTTTTAACTAAGTGACGTAGGACATTCTTTTTCCCTAGAACTCTCACAAAATTAGTTTATGAATATTGAGTACAGAAGTTTGTAAAGCAATTTGTAAAATTACGTAAGGATTTTTTAGAGCATGCATTTTACCAGTTCTCATTTCAATCTCATGAATTTGATAAATATAGAGGTAAATTTAGCTGTGATTATAATATTTATACGATATGAGGTTCTCATGTGTTTTCACGGCAAAAACCGCGAATTCATCTTATTTGACAGAAAGAAAAGCATTATGCATAGTCGCATTAGAGAATCTATTAGGAATTTCATTGAGAATATTGATAGGTTTGCATTTACGCCAGATTCGCAAGAGAAACTCTGTTGAGAATGTCATTATAATTTTAAGAGGATATAATAAATACAGAGAAACTGCTTACACGCGTATTTAGTTTCTCTCACCTACACTGTGCATTTCAATCCAATTGAGAATACTATGAAATTTGTACAAGGTTCACTTGCTGCCTGAGAGCTTTTCCACTGAATGGTTTCAGAGATGGAGTTAAAAGAATATTCTCCGTGCATTTCCTTTGCAAAATATCTCTCTCAATTTCAGCACAAAAGCCTTAATTTTCCAATGAACTCGAAGATTCATTCTCGAGAAGAAAGCATTTTCCATCCAGGAAATTCCCTCGCACTCGTCATGAAATGTCTTCAACGAAAAGGTAAAAGCGCCTAACTTGGGAGATGAGGTCGTCTTTTATTTGACTTTCCGACAGCTTCTTTTCTCTTCTATTGCTGCAGCTATTTTGGTAAGTGAGTGTTAAACAAACAGTGAAGCATTGTTCTTCAGTGAACAATATTTAATGCAACAATGAGCAAATGTTGTGTTCCAACTTTTCTGATGAACTTTATGTTTTCATGAGACATTAGAAAGAAGACATGTGATTTTTAGATAATGTAATCTGTGTTCAACATCCATAAAAATTTGATTAACTAGTAGTTGAACAAGATGTAAGGAAAAGTTACTGAATCAGTTTTAACTCATTTATTTCACTTTCTTCTATATTCTTCTAGATGAAGGATATCTGTTTAAAAAAGTAAATAATATTTACATACATACACATATTTAACAATTTCATTTATATCTGTAGGAAAAATATTACAAAATGAAATCCTAAAATAAATAATATTATATAACTTTTTCTCATTAGAATATAGGCTTTCCTCTTGCTTAACATTGTTTTACTTTACTCCTCTGAATTTCTCCGTTCAACATCTTTTTTTTTGTTACAATTAATTTATCAAAATGTTATTTATTATATAAAATTTTTCATCTTCTTATAAAAGTGTGTCACAATGCATCTTATTTGGTTCGATGTTAATTAAATAATTACAGTAAATTGTAGACTATACGTAAGTGTGAAATAAATTTGCCATGTTGTTATGGTATTATGTGCCAACCTAACAAAATTCTTGTTACGCAGAGAGTCATTGTACAAATTAAGAGACATCCCGTTCAGCACATTTGGATTAAATTGATTCTTTTTCACACCAACATGTTAAATCATATCAAAATCAAACATTCACAGTTTGATGGTTTGGGTGCTAATTTTTCGATTTTCAGTTTTCGGAGTCGTTAATTTAACAAATAAACATTTGCTGTGGCTCGTCACTCGACAATGTTTGTTGTGTGTTTCCTCCAATATCGCGAACAATACACGTACCGATAATTAAGACTCATCGATGAACATATACATAGCTTAGTTCATTCAAATTACAAACACTTTGAGCGTTCTTCAGTGTCAATTAAAACACAATATTATAAATAATATTTCCGTAACCGAATAACAAATGAATACAAACAATCTTTTACACCTTACGAATATAAATTTTGTTTAATCTCATGCGTGAACACCAATAGAAATGAAATAAGATTTTCGCAGAGATTCTTACTTAGCCAATAAGTTAGTTCTATGTTAGATTTCTTTTTTAACAATTTCTATTTTTGATTGTTACACGCCACATTTCATTCGCTATTTCTCTATTGGTTAACTCTTTGTTTTCTGTTAGTTATGATCTATGATGCGTGGTATTATTACCTTTCTTATTACTTTAACATCAGTGAATCACTCGGTTAAATTTTCTTACTATTTCGTATGAATATTATCATTTGAAAGCTCGTGGGATGAAGGATTTTTGGATTCGATTCTGCCTCCTTTTTTCTTACTCTTCTTATCATCCGCTATTGAGGAGGGTTGAAGTATTGTATTATGTAGTTGTGACTCTTCAATTTATACGTATTATCTAGATTTATCACACTACACAAAAGATTAATATTGGTCAAAAATTTAAATATCTAAAATTATATGCTTTAGTACTCTTAACATTAGCTACATACATATGTACACCTCTAACATTGAATGCTTTATACAAGTTTAAAATTTTTTACACTTAACATTCAATACATATTGCTTTTCCATTGTATTTTTAATCTTACACACTTAGGAAGAATTACGTTCTGCGATTAATTACAATTTATCAGAAGTTCTCGAGATAATGCGCGAGTTGCGGTTCACAGAAGCAACTTTGCAAGTTGCAATTGTTATTTGTATATATTTTCCAGTAAATATGTTTCATGTGAGGACTTGGGATGTCATGCAAATGGTCGAAAAGGATGTATTTTATGTTGCTATGTTTATTGCTTGCAGCTTTTATTTACACTACCTTTGGTTTTCTACTATAGAAAATTCATGTGAAAATAATTCACATGCAGATTTATCGCTCGAATTCCAGAGAACACCTAAAATGCATATTTGGGAGTTTTCTGAAGCATACAAGAAATTTTGCCATGTTTATCATCAAATGTTGTCGTAAAATTTTAACTAGACAGTAAACACTAAACAAAAATTCTCTGTACAAGTAAATATTTACTTACAAATGTATAGTGTTTAGAAAAGCTTCTACACTCCTTTTGTATAATCCGTGTAGTGTTATTGCTATATATTCAACGTATACTCAAGCAATTATGATTCCTTTTGACTGCTGGCAAAAACAAATCACATTAATCTAACATCATCACGTCGTATTTTACATTCCATTTTACATCATGTTTTATTCACTGACTGAGAGTCCTATTACACAATCTCAATCGGAAGATCAAAGGGCAGGAAAGAGTCGGAAGTAGGATGAATTATTTTGAGGCATTTCTAGGATATTGTTTGTTTTCAGGTGAATATGTACATTTTTGAAAGTGGGGCTTTTCATTTCGATTTCCATTCAGGATAATTTCGTTAGTTCTTTGTGGGTGAGAATATCAAATTGCATATGTTCACATGCGCTTGTATTTATTTGTTTTAGTACAAAATTGTATTTCAACGTGATTACGACTCTAAATCTATGCAAACAAGAGTATAATTAAATTTCATAACCCAGTCATGAAATTTCAAAACCGAAACTAAAAGGAATCATTGAAATCAAAATTTCACTGGCCGTATTTTTTGTGAGATATAAAATGTTATGGTCTGTTTGCAAAAGACATTTCGGCATGAAACTGAATGAGCATCTCAAAAGATGCACCCCAAATCTTTATCCTAAACTTTTGAGATCTATAGCCTTATGTTAAATTTTCCCTAAATCTTCTATCCACATTCGATTTCTTAATCTACTCGTCAAGTCATTTATTGCAACGCGTTTGTGGTTTAACTTAGGAAGGTTGATTGATCATTTTTTTTTGTCAGAGTCGAAAATCCGCGTAAAGTTTTTTTCCGGTTCAAGAGCCAAAACCGGTAAAGACTTCGTTCAAACAGGGATCCTTTGTTGGGCGGCTCCTTCAAGAGAGGTAGCATGGCTCTAAAGTATTTCGATATTCGGAATAAGCAGAGGTGCTGATTTTTCTAAAAAATTAAAACTAATACAGTATTATGGTTTAGTATACACATCAGAAAATTTGCAATTATTACCAAATTAATTCCGTGTGAATATTTATTGCACTGTAAATTTGACAACTAATCAGAATAATTCGATTTAGTCATCCCCATTTCTCTTTAATTTCCGCCAGTATTGATTTTCCCTTTAACAAAACACCTCTCGTGAACACATAAATGCAATCATTAAAATTATGTAACTATAAATTAAGGCGACACCGTGTTACCTTTCGAAAGTGATATCGGGGCATAGCATAAATTTGTATTCCTGCTCGATTCTGGGATATGTGACGCACATTTAGTTTAGGTCTCTGTGCACACGATAGATTTCCCTTGTTTAGGGAAGAAGATAAAAAAAAATTATTGAGTATTTTCAATAACACCCTTTCATATGTAGCGCCATACATACATATATAACAGATTTTATGGTTATATAAAATAGCATTCATAAAGTACAAAAGAATTTCTCCACATCTCAATATGTGTTTTGTTTTTTTCTATATAAAATAAGTGTGTTTATCTCAATTCAACACGTTATATTGTGTACAATAATTTAATATAAATTATATTATTTCATTGTGATTCTAAAATAAACTGCACAAATATCTCTGTGTGGTTTCAATATATGACAAGACTAACAATATTATCCAACAGACAATGGTGACTTTTCAATTTTCTATAGAAAATTTCCCCTATTCCCCTTTCATTTTCTATTACTATCAATCCTATATTCGTTTAACAAAAAAAGAATCCTCAGGTGGAAAACAATCGGGACAGGATTTATATACGGAAGACACAACTATTACGAGGGTGGTTCAATATCTCTTCTGCGCTTTTAATTAAGTATACAATATCCTCTCTTTTGCAATATATATATGTATATATATATATATATATATATATATAGTTACAAGTTTCCGGTACTTGTCGATGCTACTCCGTCAGCGGTTATCGGTCATTATAAACTATCCACCAGCGCTTGGCTGGCTCTTCTCTCTGCCGTACTGGGCCGTAAGTAACTCTCCGAGTAGACACTCTTCGTGCGAGTATCGTAGCGCAGACTCGATCTACGCATATTGCCATCCAGTGACATATCCGATTTCCACCACGTGCAGAACATACACTCCAGCGTGTTTTTGAATGCTTCCCGGAAGTCGCGGTTGAAGTAGGCGTAGATGAGAGGATTTAGAGTTGAGTTGAAGTAGCCGATCCAGAAGACAACTGCCACCACGATGTCCGGACACGGGCACGCGTCGCCGCACAAGGTCGTGATGCAATACCTATAGAATAGATACCAAGCAAACATCACTCGCAATTCTTCTCAATTATTCTCAACGCACGAAGAAGTCATACCATAGGAAGAACGGCAACCAGCATAGAATAAAGACTCCCATGATTATTCCTAGAGTTCTTGCAGCCTTGTGTTCTCGTTTCATTTTGATTAAGTGCTTATCTTTGGTAGGTGTGTGATCAAGATCAACTTCATGCAGTGTCAGAGCTTTGGAAGATCCGGAACCACTGAGAGCTTCACCTGAGGACACAAAATAGTATATTGGTATCAAGATTTGTTCTCTTCATGGTGAACACTTGATTTTCCTTATACTTAAACACCATGGAAATGAGTGAAATTTACAAAAGAGAAGAAATAAGAATAAAGAGATAAATGTAATATCTTCATCCGCTTCTACATGATGATATTGTGCCAAGAAGATTAATTCATTTGTATAAAAACATTTATACTTCGACGTGGTGTCTCTGAATTTTAATGAAATCATCGAAATGAGATATTTAATCGGATCTTTCTTAGTCAAATTTAATCAACGAATGTTTAGGCCTGATGATAATCTTTTTTTCTTCTAAAGCAGTAAAATATTTTATTTCTCCCGGCGAGGCTTCATTTAATTGTCACCACTGTCATTACAGTATATTTTTCCAAATAAGCCAACATAAGGCAATATAAATACTTCATTAGAATAATATAGGAAGTGGAATACTATGAAGAAATGCCATAAAAGTGGCAAAAATCATCTTAAGTGCAATATAATAAGAAATGGAATTCAAATAAAAATTAATCACATTATTTTTTCTACAGAGACAAATAAAAATTATTACGCCATTAATTCAATTTCCGATGTATGAATATTCATTCATACAGAATAAAATAAATACAATCTCATTAGAGTAATTATTTTTTATTCAATTTGTCACTACTGATTCGGAGCAATTACTGTTAAATGTGATTTTCATACCAAACGAAAAAATACCAGATTATTTTTTATGAGGCACAACATATCGATAATTGTGGTAACAGAAGGAAACCTTATAAGTAGCTTACCATTCGTACCTCCAGAACTTGAGTGCCGATGCATAAGCATGGCCGTTCCTTGTCTTAACGCTAATTGTTTCTCCTGCCGACTGGCCTCGCGGAAAATGGCGGCATACGTGAAAATCATGATTGTGCAGGGAATCCAGAAGGAGATGGAGCTGGAAATCATCGCGTATGATTTGTTTACAACAAAATTACACTCCTCCGGATTCTTGAGGACCTCCATCTCGTGTTTCTCGGTCGTATACCACCCTGTTTGCCCATTATTAAAGAAGCATGAGGAATGGTTGGCCGTACCGAAAAAAGAGGGAATTTACACAACATTAATAATACAGAAACCATAAAGTATATTCTTGCATATTTTTGGTGAGGAGAATTTTTAAACTTTATGGCGTTTTTGGGGATGAATGCGGTATGCTGGCGTCCAGGAGGTTGGAGGGCGTGTTTTAAAAATTAAATATTAACTCACCGGCAAATATTGGCACAAAAGATAATAGCGCTGGGGACACCCAGGTGTTTAAAATCATAATGGCTACAACACGTTTCGTCATACTTGTTGGATATTTTAGGGGTCGTACGATGGCGTAATATCTGGAATTAAAGAACCAGAAGACATTCTTAGGACATATGCATGAAAAATTCACCTCTTGCTCGCAACGAGGCTTACAATCAATGACTAAATGATAAACTTCGAGTCATCGGTCGCTGAGTCTCAAAATACAGTATGCATTATAAACAAGTTATGATTGGATAATCAACAACAATCTCGCTCAATACGCCTTCCACCCCATTTCACCCATTCCTTATTTATGCATCAGCCAATTCGCACGAAGAAATTATCTCGCAGAGTAATTTGAAATTCAAATAGTGTCGCAGCTTACCTATCCACTGAGATGCAGCAGAGATGCAAAATACTCGCCGTGGAGAAGTAGACATCCAGGCTGTTCCACACGTCACACATAAATGGACCGAAGAGCCACCTGGAAGGAGCACAATACAGAATATTTTTCAATACACATAATTATGATGGGAAATTCACTTGGAGCTTATCGACAGAAAGCATTCTGAAGGCACTTAATACCATAATAATATATAGGAAATGCTTTCAATATACTTAAGAGTATGATGAAAAATGAATTGATGGGGAGAGAACGAGAGTCTGGCTAATGGTATTCCACTTTGTGTACCTGAGCGCGATCAACTCACTAAAGCTCAGTAATTTTTTATCCCACCCCGAAGCAGAACATCGTAAAACAGACTACTCTCACAATGTGTTTTAGAAGAACATGTATGTTTTCATGGTTTTCATAAGGATAAAGTTGCAATAAGCAAAAATACAGAAAATACGGATATAATTTTTCGAAGAAGCAAAAAGCAGAATTCAAAAGCTTATAAAACGCTTTGAATATACAAAAATCTATCTAAGAAATTCTCTCAATTCACCTCTCAGGCATGTCGAGATTCAGCAAAGCACATTCCAGTGGCTACTTCTAGTGATGGAGAGATGCTCAGACTAAAATTGTCAAATTAACTGACCCTTTGCTGCTTCATTACTTGTATATATTGAGCGAGTAAAATGAATTTATACCCAGGGAAACATAAGCACACAAACATATATAAAGGTATTTTAATGATTTGTCACTGGAATTAGAAACATTTTTGCCTCATTTGTCACATAAATTTTGCTTCATGACTAGAACAGTGCGTCTGCCATATCATTTTCCCCATTTCAATCAAGTGATGAGCACAAGAAATGCAAATAGAAGCTTTACCACAAGCCAGACCACAATTTGAGTTGAGTATTGTATGCACCGAAGATGTGCTACACTTACCTTCCAGTTATTTGGACACTGAAATTGAACGACATTGCCATCATAGCCACCATAATATCTGCCATCGCCAGGGAGACAACAAAGTAATTCGTAATGACTCTGAAAATGGGAAAAAAGATCCCTATTTAGCGGCATAACAGTTACTAAATCTTCCTAATTATTCACGGGGAATTTTGGGGGACTTTTACGACCAAATATAGTGCTATGTGACTGCCGCCGCTCTGCTTACACGTAATTTCTCCAATTCTATGAATAAAGATGTGATTGAGTGTAATAAGTTTTGTTGATGAAACGGCTTATATTTTTCTCAACACACATCCGCATTTTTTCCCCTCGAGCAACTCATCCGAATGCAATACACTCACAGCCATCACCCATAAAATCCGTATACAAAAGAACAAGACCACATAAAGGCAGATTATTGTAATGATTTTTTTATGAATTCGACTCCAGTGAATCTCACATTTTGGACTTTAGTGTGTTTTGATCTTGCCATAACTTGACATGAGCGCAATACGGGAATCAATCGATTTTTACATTTTCCACATATTTCACATAGCCAGAGAATTTTATTTACATCTTAAAGTTTCAGGCAACTCGTGAAGATGCAATTTCCCAGTGGATGCGGACGAACAAAGTGAAAGAATGAAATGCCAATAAATTTGAAATGAAAAAAAGATTAAGGATGTGGATAAATATTGTTTTCAAGTGTTCTCCAATGCAAATTTAATCAATTTCCATGAGATTAGCTTATAACTTTCCATTTACGACAGTGAAAAGACAATGAAGAAGATGAGGAAAACTAATGGAAAAAATCAGAGGCCGTAATAGAGCAATATAGGATAAACGTGGCTCTTAAGAAGAGATGTAATGTATCTTTCAGGTCAGTGGCAAGCTGAACGGTAATTAATCTTACCTCAGTTTTCGATGTCTCATTACGGAAGCGATAACGAGGAGATTGCCGAAAACCGCTGCAACCATAATGAATATCATGATAGTGGCCTTTAGGATCAATAGCGTTATCTCAATCCACGGCTCGGAGAGTTCCTCCTCCAGCTCCTTCGTCGCATTCGAAGATGAGAGCGTTGATAAGATTTCCGTTCCAGTGAGAGACGCCAGAGAACTTAAAGTGTCACTACCAGAAGGACTCATTTTGCTGTGTATGAAAAAGTATTGTTTGAGATAATTTTTGCTCTTCCATCGATTGCAATTGCAAGTAATTCTGTAACGAATTATAGCCTCAACATATACTTGAGACTTTATATTTGACATCTATAAGAAGAACGCAAATACAAGAGAAACCTTTTCGAAATACAATAAAATTTCTTTAAGTCGACAATCGTAAGCTTTCTTAAACAATTAAATTTGCAGTGTTTAGGGTGACAAGTCATCCATATACGACTCATGGATGAACTGCCACTTTACACACTAATGGCTCACCCAAAATGAGTTAAGTGACGAATGATTCGATTTGCGTAGAATCTGGGATTAAGTGAAAATTATATAATTCGCTTTTAGGCTCGATTATCCTCTTTCCTCACTTCTCTTCTCTGCTCGCAGTTTATCTTAGTATTGTGAAGAAGAGCTGTTTTGGCTATTCACATCAAAAAGCTATCCATAACTATCGTAGACATGCACAAGACAACCATCATCGGTTATTTGACGATATAAGTCCGAGCAGTTGCACGAAAAGTTAACGTTTGATTCATCCACAGCATTTTGTTTGCATAACATTGATTGCAAATGATTGCAAATCGGTTCAATTAAGTTAGTTTCATGCTCTGTTTCATCACCATCGGCTGCGTTAGTATACATTCAGCCTGAAAATGTACAAAATGTCAAACATGTGAGTACCATCTCTTCACTTTTCTCCTTCACACCCATTCATCACTCTCTCTCTTTCATACAATCGCTTCACACAACACATTTTATATCCGCTCTTCTGCGCTTTTCTCGAGCTCAAAATATCAATACGCGATGTTGATTGTACGCGACACAGTATTGTTCCAACTACAAGATTAATTCTAGTTTTTTTTTAAAGTACCTCAACCGATTTGTAGGTAAGTACCATTGAATTGAATTCCGATAATTGAACAAAAATTAGGATTTGCGATAGAGAAAATGGATCAAATTTTATTATGAAATATCTTTTCGCTTTTTAAGCAATTTTCTTTTTGTCAAAACAATTTACAAAAGAAAATGTTAACCTCTCGCCAAAATACAATTTCCAAGGAAGGTGAATTATCTGAGAGAATTCTTCGCATTCAAAGAACATACGCATGTTCACTGCAAGAGACAGTGAATTATGAGAAATTTTTACATAATGTATCATGGGTAAAATATCAAATGTGCCATAGAAGAGGATATTTATCTAGACAATTTCATATGTATATAAATACATAATTGTCAAATTTACCAACAGCTTAAGTGTTGAGGGTTCAGTACATAACATTTTCAAAACATTATTCTCCATGTTTTATTCATTATTATCTCCACACACAGCATAAATAAATATAACACTCACTCGAGGCACATGACTTACACCTTTGAATGTTACCCAAATATTGTTTTAGTTTCCGCATTATTTAATTTCAAATGTTAATCTATAATCTAATGAAACCCATCTCTATAGACTTCAGGATAAAATTACCATTAAATAACCATAAAGCTCCTTTTGTCTTAACAATTGGCATTGTCCCCTCGGGGTAGAAAAAAAACCTGTCCCTCATTCCGCATTATCATGTCAGTGAATTTAACATACACGATTGTCCCCAGAGTTTTATATCACTGACCAACCCCATCAGGACTGTGTCCATTCATGCTTCTCTCCCTAAAAATACACCATTTAAGAAGTGAGCCGAGGAGAAAAAGTATCTCTGTGAACTTTTAAATTAAATATTAAAGGTCAAAACGCGAAAGCACGTGAATACGTAACGTGAATAGCAGAGGTAAACCAAATAATATTCTCTACCGTGTGGAGGGAGAGACAGAAAAGAGGCGAAATAAAAAAAAAACGCAATCACGATTTTTCAAAGCTCCGCGAAAATCAATTTGAAACTTAATAAATAAAATATAATCACACCAAATACCGCCGAAATTGAATTTATTATTTATTAATGTTTAGCGCATGATAATAGGGTTTGATGAAATTTTTTTACGCTCTTGACATTCCATTTAATTTTAATTGACTACTAGCTGATTTAATACCGAATTGGCTCACACATTGTAATTGAATGTAGCAACAGTTTGGCAAAATTGCAGTCTTAATTGAAAATTATCTGGCGAGCAATCTGCAGCCTACACTGAAATACTTAATTACTCTTAAAAGACAACCGCGACGCGTTCAGTGATCAAAGAGTGTCATTAGATGGAGAATCAAGCAGAAATAGGCGTTTACAAATTCTTTATTTAATGTATTGCCATAGTGTTTATTTTTGTAATGCTCGCGACTGAGAGGATGAGAGCCATAAAACTATATTATGTTCTTCAATATAAATTTTTATTAAATGAAATGTCTTTCATTAAACTATAAATAAACACTTTAAATATGATATATACGGGAGAAGATGTTCAATGTCTTGAAGAAATGGTGTAAAGGATATTTTGGTGGCAGAAAAATGTTAGCGGAAAATCCAAGGAAGATGGAATTTTAAGATAAATTGGCTAAAATACCGATAAAACTGTGAACAGCGACAATTTTTATTTTTACAAATTCACATATTAATAGAAATGTAGGAACAGAAATAGAATAACTTATTCAAAATAGCACGGCTCATTTTATTTTAAATGTCGTAATGAGTTGTACACTGTCGAAAAATGTGTTTTCAAGGCGAGATGGTCAAATATTGCAAAAGAACCCAGAGTTCGCTGCATTTTGTGAATTGTTTTGAAGCTCGAGTTGGGTAAAGCGGTCAAACATTAGATTCATACTTCAATAGAACACATTTTTTTCAATGACAATTTCACCAAACTTGAACCACAAGATCCGTTTGTCAAACAAGACAATAAGAAAATCCGAAAAGGGTTTTGATAGAATTTGCCACCAAGGCTGGGTAGTCAAACTAAAGTCGGATCCATTATGTTTGCCTAAAGGTGTTCTCCAGTGATATTGGGCCGATAAGTAAATAAGCCCAGAGGTTGAATGTCAATATCAATCAATGAAATTCTTTATTCTTGCACATGGGAATTACAATGAGATCAACCAATAAAATAGGATACAACATCTTCCTTGTCATTGATGAAAATGGATAACATGTAGAATGGAAAATTAGCAATTCTGACTCTACATAAATAATAAATTTCATTCATATAATATTATCCAGAATGACCTTTACAAAAATATAGTTAACGCCAAATACAAAGCTGAATGCTCTCATAACTGAATAAATAGTTATTTGATGCTGGAGGGATGTTTCAATTTTCAAGTGTATTAAAATTATGATGAAAATTTCCCGCTCATTTAAATGTATAACATGGGACACCACATGAATGCAAAACAACATGAATATATGCATGTATGTAAATTAATTCTGGTATGTTCAATTATTAGCTTTTCTCCAACCCAAGAAGCAGCAATCGAAGGAAGAATTGTACGCAGTATTGAAAATTGGAGGTGAGACAGAGAAAAAGTTTTGCAGTGCTGACATTGGAGCGCTGATATGATAGCAAATATGAGTGCTACAGTGATGCATAAATTGACTGTTTCCTCATGATTGCACTCACGGTGTATCCCACATACATATCGCTCTCCTCCGCATCAAATCTGAGCATAAATATGCCATGTGCCATCGGATGTGAGCCAGCGTATCGGCCAGAGTTACACACTATCGTTGTGTATGTTCGGAAAATTAAAAGGGCTATTTTCAACGTCGATTAAAATAGAATCAGCGCATTTAGTCAGTCATAAATATATCGTCTAACAAAGTTCAACTCTATCGCGGTCAAGTACAGCAAATTATAACTTTTAGCCGATAGATTCTCTATTTGCCAGAAAATCGGTTTCAAATGTGACACCTAATAAATTTCAAATAAAATATGAGTAAATACATGCATTATGTATACATATTGTGCGAATAGAGCGAGAATATATGCTTCTGTCGACCTTAAATTGACGGTGTTCCACCCCTCGACATTTCAAAGATGCAAAATTGAGAGGAGAGGGCGTTACAAAGAAATTGAGTATCATACAGAAAGTTTGTTTGAGCATGTCTGACAGCTTCCCATGAAGTGCTCTCATTTGAAATTATATTTGCAGACCACTCATTTCAGTTAGGCTTTAATACAAAGTTCCGCTTTTTGCATCATTCAGAGAATTCCTGCAGCACAATAGTTTGTCGCGTATTCTCAAGTTCAAATTGCTCATCAACTTGAGCACAAGATTATCACATCCATCTTTCTTCGCCTCAATTCTCTTCGGACCACTTTCCATTCTACCACTATATCATTATCCACGTGTAAATATAACAAATAACGATTACTTTACACACCCGCTCACTGTATTAGATGAACAATATATTTATTTTGAGAACTTTACGTGAGCCATTAAAAAATTTATTTGATTCAACTTTTTAATTCATAGATGTTTTCAAAGGCTTTGTCGGGTGTCTATCAAACTGTCTATCATTCTCGTCTAGCTCTCCCGACTGAATTGAAAGGAATTAGTTATTCAAAGCCTAGCCTAATCATGAATGCTTAATACAGACGTGAAAGATTAAATCCAAAAAGTTTATTTTCAGCTTTCCAGTGAATATAAACTTTAATAAAATATTTTTGTACGAATGTTGGGTGACTCAGAATCATTCTCTCTTCAATACAACGTGACTTTTTGAAAAAATTCAAGTATACCTTGTGACAATGAGTTTTCTCAGTTTTTATTACCTGAGAACCTGGAAAGGCACGTAACTTAAGTCACACATTCCAACCAAATTTATTGTGAATTAAAACACCTTATTGCGACTATATAGTGCAAAGTTTTGCATATTCAGTCATACTAACTTTTATATACTCTTCACAGTCACGAAAAATTATTACACTCTGTACAAAATCCATGCCATGTTCATTCCATAAAATATCGATTAATGCAGTTTGTCTAACAATATTTGTTATATGTAATTGTGCCACTTATCCATAATCTTTACAATCTTTAGGTGTAATAAA